CAGGGAGAACAAGCTAATTTAATAATCTTATGACTGATCCATGGCAACAGAAGCAGAATCAAAATTCTGAGTCATCATCTCCTTGGAGGCAAACTGTAAAAGTGGAAGCTTCAGGACCTCGAACGGATGGAAGCCAACCTCAGCCCGTTACTACTAATAGGGTATATATACCAAATGCAGGTCTGATGCATGCAAAACAGGGCTCAGGATATAGATGTTTTTTCCCTTAGAGAAGGTAGAGGGTAGTTGAGGATTATAAAATTTTGCCTTTTCACAGCAAAAAAGCATTGGAAGGGAAAACAACACTACAGAAAGCTTGAACCTTATCATTCCAAGAACATACATAGAGGAAAATGTCAAGAGGACAGAAGAAAGATAGAAAATAAAACAAATTTGCCTTTCAGAAATATATTTTCATAATGACTGATAGCAGAATCCCCAAATTTGGACCTTAACTCCTCAGTCCCCAATGCATTATCTGAGGATGCTGAAATGGCATTTAGAGAAGATTAATTGGGAAATTATTTAATGAAGATTTAAGATATTGGTAATTAGTGACCACATCTACAACTCTGTGAAAATCAACATTTGTTTGTCTGATTTTCCCAATATGAAATTGTATAATAATTTGCTTTTGTTTTTTTAAGTTGTAATATTTTTCCAATTACATATAAAACAATTTCTAATCTTTACTTTTTGTAATTTTGAGTCCCTAATTCTTTTCTACCCATTCTCCCTTACCCTCTCATTGAGAAGGCAAGCAATTTGATAAAAGTTATACATGTGCAGTCATGAAAAACATATTTCCATATTAGTCATGTTATGAAATAAAACATAGACCAAAAAAAAATAAGAAAAATAAAGAAAATTTAAAATGAAGTATGCTTCAATCTGCTTTCAGATCCATCAGTTCTGCTTCTGGAGGTGGATAGCATTTTTCATCATAGGTCCTTCAGAATTTTCTTAGATCTTTTTATTGCTGAGAATAGCTAAGTTACTCACAATTGATCATTGTACAATGTTGTTACTGTGTACACTGTTTTGGTTTTGCTTACTTCACTTTGCATCAGTTCACTTAAGTCTTTTCAGGTTTTTCTGAAAGCATCCTGCTCATCATTTCTTATAGCAAAATAGTGTTCCATCACTATCATATATTACAACTTGTTCAGCTATTCCCAAATTGATAGGCATATCCTCAATTTCCAATTCTTTGCCACCACAAAATGAGCTGCTATAAATATTGTTGTACATATAGGTCCTTTTCCTTTTTTTTTTTTTAATCTCTTTGGGATACAGACCTAGTAGTGGGGTGGGTCAAAAGTATGCACACTTTTATAGCCTTTTGGGCATAGATCTAATTTCCTGTCTAGAATGTTCACAACTTCACCAACAGTACATTGCTGTCCCAATTTTCCCACATCCCCTTCAACATTTGTCATTTTCCTTTTCTGTCAGATTAGCCAATCTGACAGGTGTGAGATGGTATCTCAGAGTTGTTTCAATTTGCATTTCTCTGATCAATAGTAATTTAGGGCATTTTTTCAAATGACTATAGATAGCTTTGATTTCTTCATCTGAAAACTGCTTCTTTATATTCTTTGACTATTTATCAATTGGGGAATGACTTGCATTCTTATAAAATTGACTCAGTTCTCTATATATTTGAGAGATGAAGCCTTTATCAGAGAAACTTGATGTCAATTTTTTTCTCCAGTTTTCTGCTTTCCTTCTAATCTTGGCTGTTTTGTTTTTATTTGTGTAAAACCTTTTTAATTTAATGTAATCAAAATTATCCATTTTGCATCCCATAATGCTTTTTATCTCTTGTTTGGTAATAAATTATTCCCTTATCCTTAGAGCTGACAGGTAAATTATTACTAATTTCCTTATGGTATTACCCTTTTTGTCTAAATCATGTACCCATTTTGACTTTACTTTGGTGTATGGTATGAGATGTTAGTCTATACCTAGTTTCTGCCAAACTACTTTCCAGTTTTCCCAGCAGTTTTTGTCAGATAGCAAATTCTTGCCCCCAAAGTTTGGATCTTTGTGTTTATCCTTTCTGACCTAATCTATTCCACTGATCCAACACTCTGTTTCTTAGCCAGTACCTGATTGTCTTGATGATTATTCCTATGTAATAGTTTGAGATCTGGTATGGCTAAACTGCCTTCTTTCACATTTGCTTATTATATTTTCAGAGAAAAACTGAGCATTTTTTTCCCTTTCACTAATGAGAGTGGCAAGCTATTTCAACAATCCTCTTTTTTTCCCTCTCTCCCTCTTTCTGAAAGGAAAATAAAGCAAAATCTTAACCTAAAGGAATATTGTTGTGAGATCATCTGTGGGAACACTTCCTGTGCTAATTGAAAATGATGTAATCAAAAGTCTTTTCCCTCTCTAAAGTCTTTTCACAAAATCGAAGAATATCAGAATTGTAAGGGATCTCAGAAGGCACCTAGTTTACCTTCTACCTGAACAAAAGATCCCTCTATAACACCAAGGAGCCAGCTAACCTCTATTTAAACAGAGGTTACTATCCCCTACTTCCTAGGGATAGCCTACTCCATGTTTGGACAACTCTAATTCAAAGAAAGTGTTTTCTTATACTTAGCAACTGTCTATATGAAATTTACCCACTGTTCTTAGTTATGCCTCTGGACCCAAGCAAAACAAATCCAACCCTTCCTACATGTGTCAGCCCTTTAGATACTTGAAAACAATTATCATTCAGTTATCAGTTAAACAAGCATTTCTAAAGAATCTACTATGTGCTAATCATTGTGAATATAAAGATGAAATCAAAACAGTCCCTACCCTCAAGGAGCTGATATTCAAAGGCTTCTTTTCTTTGGGCTAAACTCTTCAGTTTCTTCAACTAATACTTGTATGACATAGCTTCCAGCACTGTCACCATCTTGTGAACCTTCCTCTGGACACATTTTAGTGTGTCAGTATTCCCCCCTAAAATGGTGTACCCACAATTCAACTGGATGTGGTCTTAATTATACCTTTGTGGGCAGCTGATAGCATATCTTTTCTTTTTAAGTGAGGCAATTGGGGTTAAGTGACTTGCCCAGAGTCATACAGCTAGGAAGTATTATGCGTCTGAGGCCAGATTTGAACTCAGGTCCTCCTGACTCCAGGGCTGGTGCTCTATCCACTGTGCCATCTAGCTACCTGTGATAGCATATCTTTGTCAGTTGACATGATGGCCCTCAATTTTTTTTTAATCCTGAAAAAGCATATTAATATTTGTGAGGTATATCATAGAGTTAGGTAAATCCAGTTTATGTTTCAAGTCACTAGAGGAGGGGATGGATGCTTACAGCATATATGTCATAAATAGCACATGAGCTGATTTTCATGAGTATGGTCACTTGCTGCCAACACACTCCCCCATCTTTGATACTGCCTCCTATGATAATAAGAATTGCTCCACCTATGAACATTACTGGCAGCTTCTGAATTGCTGTCAAGCTCTCAGCCATTTCCCTCATGTCCACTTGTGAGTTGGTCAGCTCATGTGCCAAAGTAATAGTAGTAGTATAGTAGTAGTAGTAGTAGTAGTAGTAGTAGCAGCAGCTAACATTTATATAGTGCTTATTATATGCTGTGTAAGTATTTACATTATCTCATTTGAACCTCACTGCTGGAATAGGTGCTGTTATTGTTCCCATTTTACAGATGAGGAAACTGAGGCAAACAGGTTAAGTGAATTGCCCAGGGTTACACAGCTAGTAAAGGTTGCTCTGTTAGAGGAACCAGGCTATCTGGAATACTATTTTAGTAATGATAGATGAAATCTAAATGGAGAGTCCTGCCTTCACATAACTTCATCAACCCTAATACTGGTATTAGAATACTGGTACTAGAATAGCAGATAGTCTCTTCATTTGCAAAGTAAGAAGGTTGGACTGGATGACCTTCAAATCATAGTGATAACTATCAGTTTATTGATAGAGTTTTAAAAACTTGTTAGAAAAGCAATTTGCAACTGCTAATTGTCCTCAAAGAGTCATAGATCTTGGATAAGTTGGACCCCTCAAAAAAGCAAAAGATGGACAGCCATGTGCATTGTACCATGCTCTAGTTGAGTTACTGTGGCCCTTCTTTCATTCAGCAATAATATTGTTTGAATCAGGTTGCTGAGTAATCTTTAACAAAAACAGTTTTTGTTATCCGCCTATTAGGATTCTCTAAGTTTTCCTTCCCCCTCTCCCCCCAGACTCCTGTTTTGGTTTTCTGCTTTATTTTTGGAAGATAACTGAGTTAAATCATTCCTAGGTTGTTACTGAGCTTGCATACTGGAAACTACCTACATGTAGTTGATATTTTTCCACATTTCTATCACTACTTTTTTTATTTCATTTGTAACATTCTTAGAGACAGCTAGGTGGATTGGTGGTTAGAGTCCTGGGTCTGGACTTAGGAAAACCTGAGTTCAACTCTAGCCTCAGATACTTACTAACCAATCGTGTGACCCTGGGCAAGTCAGTTTACTACTGTTTGTCTCAATTTCCTCAACTTGTAAAATGGGAAAAATAATAGCACTTACCTAACCAAGGTGATAGGTGTGAGGATCAAATGAGATTATATCTGTAAAGTGCTTAGCACAGTGCCAGGCACATAGCAGGTCCTATAAAAATGCTTATTCCTTGCCTCCTTCTTAAGCTAGAGCCTTTCTTGTTTCATTGGAAATAAAATACCCTTTGGGTTTTTCTCTCCTAATCCCAGAGAAACATTATCCCTTAGTGAAGTCTCTGAGGAGACAGTGGGCAGTCTTTCACAAGCACTGCTGTGCAGCGATCAGAAGGGACAGAATTAATCCACGTTTCAGGGAGGAGCTGCTGCCCACCTCCCCTTGCCATCTATTTTTTTGCTGTATGTTAACATGCCTGTTTAAAAGATGAGTTGTTGGGCTTCTATTGATGTCAGTAGGCTCACCTACCATTTCAGAACAGTGGAAACAAAAGCACTCTCCATCTGAATGTTCACAGGACTGTGCTAAAGAATAATGATTTAAGATCAAGACAAGAGTTAACTACCCACCTCACCAATCAGTGGCCTTCCCCAGGAGCTCTGGATGTCAATGCTGTTGCCTTGGATACCTTGCTTTACCGAAAACACAATAAACAGTGGGATGAGTAAGTGGAATGCTTTTTTTTCAAACTAATTAAAAATTTCAGTTGTACTAAGATCATATGATCATCCCTTTGTTTTGAGGCAATGGGGACAGTCTGAATGTGGAGGCAAAACACTAGGATGCACTTACAAGCTGTGTGATTTAGGGAAAGGCACTTAACGTCTCTGAGTCTCAATCAAGTCATCTGCAAAGTGAGAATAATGCTTATTGGACTAACCGTCTCCCAAGTTTGTTATAGAAAAGGCCATTTGTAAACCTTAAAGCTCATATATGTATACATATATATATATATATAATAACCATGAGTTATTATGATTTTGATTTTTCAACTTATCTTCTGAGTTCAACATTAGCTTAGGACTATGGGATGAAAATGGGACAGGGTACAGAACCAGTTACAAGAAAATGCCTTCCAGTGATTGGAGGGGCTGGGTTGAATGGGCCATTGTTTTCAAGCCAAAGCACCCTGGGGAAGTGAATGTGTAGGTAGGGGTCAATATTGTATCGACTTCCCACCTCTCTCCTCTATTCAGTTTGAGAAAATGAGTAGTCATACAGTATGAATTTGGGTCTAAGGCACCTTTATAAAATTGTTGAACTCATGGCTTTGGGGTCATAGTTGCCTGAAGATTAATTTTTCTGGGAGTTTAAAGGTACCAAATTGAATTGATTAAAGGTAAGGCAGAAAGTCTTCTCAGTAAAGAAGTCCATTAGGCAATTAGGTCAAGTAATTTTTTTCGCGTATCCAGGTTGAGAGCAATGCGGACAGTATGATTTCCATACCATAGCTTTCTTCTGTTCAATATGGCTGGATGGAATGGCAACAACTGTAGAATACTGGATAGCCTTTCCTATAAGTAGCCTTTCTTTACTCATGTAAAATGAGGGGGATGAATTAGTTGATTCAGGTAGGTTGGGTGGCCCAATGGAGAACCAAATTGGACTTGCAGTCAACAAGACTGGAGTTCAAATTCTGGTTCAGACACTCACTAACTGTCCTGCCTCATTTTCCTCATCTATGAAATGGTGATAATGATAGCACTTCCCTCTCAGAGTCATCGTGAAAAATAAATGAGATAACATATGTAAAGTGCTTTGCAAACCTTAAAGCTTATTAATAGTATCATCATCATCACTATTATTATTAGATCTCTAAGGTCTCTGTTTATTCTAAATCTTAGGATTAACTAGGTCAGTTTTGCCCAAGTATACCTTGCCATAGACTATTTACTCTCCAAAGAAAGAATGTTATAATTGTATTTAGAGTTCTAAGAGAGGTCAGTTTGCTTCCTGAGCAAATGGACCTGGACCAGTGCACAAATATCTCCGTTGCCTTCTCTTATGCGTTATTTTCCCAGCTTTTCTCAACATAAAATGCCTGCTCTCTTCCAGGTGGCATTAGAAGATGTGCCTCCAATTAAGTCATCCTTATATTTTAAAGAATGGTTTCTGAATTGTCTGGATAGAAAAAATTCTCAGTAACTTGTGTTGTTTTACCTGAAGATTCAGCAAAGGCTTTCTCCCCTGGGTGCTCCTCTCCAGCTGAAGGCTGTTAAATTTGCCTGTGATTGCTTGTGCATGGCAACTGGGCCCCTTACAACTAATCTGTAAAGGCATTCTGAAGAAGAGAGGTGACTTTCACAAGTACACACTTTTGACCTGCTCAACAGTTCTTAACTAAAATAATTGTTTTAGTTCTAGTACCAGCAGCTTTAATGGTCTACTAAAGTCTAAGAGTTTTTCCCCAAGAACTCAAGACTCCACTCACTTTTTTGTGAGAGCAGCATTTCTATACCTCCTATCTGTTCTCAGACTCAGCAAGGCCAGGGTGATTGTCAGAAGAAAGGGAATCCCTATAACTCCAGTTAAGCCCATATTAGAGAGTAAACTTGACCAAATTTACAGGATGTGATAGTCAAACATGGAAGATTGTCCAGAATGGATCTCAAATGTTTATATAACTTTAGTGTGGGAATTTCAGTTTGTTAATTGGCTTTTTAGGTCTTTGATGTTCTGGCTTATTTAAGGATTTCTTTTTGAATAGTTAGTCACTTGGAAAATCTTGGCTTTCCTTAAGCTTCTTTTGGACATATTCCTTAAAATATTAAATTTAGATTACAATGAATCTTTAGAATATCCTTTTTTTCTCCAATATTTTATGTATATATATATATGTATATATAATGTTTTATTACTTTATTTTAAAATAAAGATTATTTTTTGTATTCTGAATTTAATGAATGCCAAAAAAACCCTACCATATAGAAAACATAATTGAAAGGGGATCATATGTGAAAATCTGAATCTCTATTACATATTGCTTGCTTTTTCCCAATTTATTTTCAGTTCCAAATTCTCCCCCTCCCCTTCCCCACCCATTGAGAAGGCAGGAAAAACAAAGCCCATTAAAATATATATAGTCTTGCAAAACAAGTTCCCACATTAGCAGCATCCTAAAAGGAAAAGAACATATGTTTTGATCTGCTGAGTCCAGCACTTCTCTGTGGAGAGGTGGGCAGCATGTTTCATGATGAGAATTGTGCTTTTTGGCGTGTTGATCAGAATTCCTAAGTTTTTGAGAGTTGTCTTTACAATATTGTGGTTATTGAATAAACTGTTCTCCTGACTCTGCTCACTTCACTTGGCACCGAGATGAGCTGTAGTGCCACCATATTTCCCATTAACATTCTAGTTTGTCCTTTTATCCATATCCACATTTGTCAAATCTTCCTTCTGCTTCAGATTGAATTGCTGTCGTGTAACTGGCAATTCTGAGTCCCATTATACTCTTCATGGTCTATCATGGAGATCTTTTATTTATCCTGACAACTTATTGGTGCATAGATCATATCACTTAAGATGTATGGGGTTACTGGTCCGCCATTTGTATTCATCACAACATAGCCTACTCAAAGATAGGGAATGTGTATCCTTTGCTGCTTTTGATGATGAACTTTCCACGTTTTGCAAAAGTCCTGTTTGGTTTGTACAATTTGCATTGCTTCACCTCACACCTCCTATTTGATTTTTCCATCCTGACCCAATCCTTATCACCTTTTAGCATCCTATCAGTAGATTAAATGAACACAAACATCTTCCTCTTACGGCAATTGTCAGCTCATTCTCCAAGCATATTCCTTGAAATTCAAACCAGAAAGCAAGTAAAAGTGAGGCATAGTGTATGAGCTTATGCACATGTTGATGCACAAAGGTATATAAAGTCTTAATTTTCTGCATGCAGATGATATCCTTTGTTGATTATCTATGGAAAATTAAATTTGTGCTAGTTCTTCTCCCTTGCCCACTGTAAAACTCTGAATGTACTATCTCAGCTACCCAGCTGGTGTGTGTTTGGCTAATACAAATGAATATTAGCCTGTGCCAAACCATTAGGAGGATAAATCACTTAGATTATCCACACCTCAGATCCCCTCCATTAGTAGAGATAATTAAACGTTGTCTAAGTGTATATCAGACCTATGCATACATATGCAAGTTTCTATTCCTGGCTGTTTTATGTTGTTTTCAAACAAAATGTAAATTAATTAAATTAAATACTTGGTTTTGGATTTTAAAGGAAAGTCTCCTATCTTGAAGTTACAGGGCATAGGCCACAATTACTACAAACATGATTTTTGAAAATACATACTACTATAAGTACTGAAACGGAAGAATGTATGATGTTTAAGGCCTTTAGTCTTACCTGAGGATGTAGGCATCTAATTCTTTTTTTTCTAGTTTGTGCACTCAATGTTTATGATTAGATTAATGTCTGATATATTAGATTGATTAAATACCAGGCTAGTGAGATAAAGGTTTAGGGATCATTTCTTATATCAGACCATTGCAATAAGAGAAACTTCTACAGCTAAAAATTACACGCTTACTATGGACAGGTGACTCATGAATGAGGGCTAGTAGTCACAAAGGGAAATGAATGGATACTTTAGTATCAAAGACATACTTAAGGAAGGGGGACAAAGACTTTGCCCCCAAGTCACTGGAATGTAGAGGGTGCAGGAATTTAATTAAAAACAACTGAGTTCAATATCTAGTTCCTGATTAGCTAAAATAGGTAACACCCACTATTATTATTTATTAACACCCATCTACAAGCCACTATAGTGACTAATTCTCCTTTAGGTTCAATTAATTTCTTTAAATTACTTTTTTTATTTTCACATCATGAATTATGAAGTTGATCTGAGGGTATTTTTCATGTTGCTTACCATTGGTGCATATCCTGTTACTTGCCCTGGGTACCCAAAAGGCTCATTATTATTCTATTTGTCACACATTTACAATTGCTATTAGAACGAACCCAACTCATTCCATTGCAAAAGATAAATCAATCAATAAACACTTATTAAGTGTCTATTATGTGCCAGGTACTGTTTTGGATGTTGGGTCAGTAGTGGAAAATTGTATGGATTAATTCTAGTGTTAATATCTTTTATGTACGTGCTTCTTTAGGCTAGTAATTTTCCTGATTGGTGTTTCTCTATTTCAGTATTTATCAATGTAAGTTAACCTTGTAGATAGTTGCTAAAGCCCCCAAAATCTTAAATGAGTGATCAGGTTCTTAGACGTAGCAACTTGTCTTCCAAAGTCAACTCTCCAACCATAATGGACAATTCAGCTATGTCAACAGAAGGGTGTCTTACTTAAATGGTTATTAGAAAATGAAGAAGGCTCCTTTTCAATTTGTTATTTGCTATTGATGATCACCTAGGTTTCTGAGAAAGATTATGCTTTTGGACCATCAGTACTCATTTTAAAAATCCATATAATTCTCTTCACATTTCATTCAGTCATTGTACGTTACATATGTATGTTTCTGGAGTGTATGGGGTGTTCAGGGAGGATTAGCACCTCTGGTGGGAGGGTTTGCTGAGCCCTTTTCAGGGCTCTCATCCACCTTTGGTGTCCACCTTCACACAACTCTCAAATATGACTCCAAGAAGCTGTAATATGCACAGCAGCTACAGCTCGGTGGGCCATCTTGGCAGATGGGTTAACAAGGTTGAGGGTAACTGAACCCATCAGTGAGTTAGGGGGTGTCTGTCCCAAGCGTATGAAGACTTCCTTGCCAGAATGGGCAGATGAGAACACCATGAAGGCGGCTAAAGCAGGCGTTGTAGAGTGCTTAGAACCTGGTCACATGGAAAACACTAAGGTCATCCACTGCATCCCAGGCCATTGCCAGTTGTCTTCAATCTTGCCACTGGCTGACAACTTTATGCAACTCTGCCTCACTTAAATCCAATTCACTCACAAGTCAAGACATCACCCCATGATGTCATTGATCCTCTTCCAAAATGAAGGACAAACATCACCACCACCTATGTTTCTACATAGCTGAGTAGCATGGTCTGTTTGTTTCCTTTTAAAAAGCATTAGCAATTTTTGAAGGATAAAATAAGTATAATAAAAGTGATTCTTTTAAATTAACCTTATGATACGTCCCTTGAAGGCCTACTGCTAGATCCTCATTATAGTGTCGAGCTCACCCTGGGTTCATGAAGACTACTCTAGCGAAACAAGTTTTGACAGCTTCTCACAAGCTCGAAAGTGTTTAATTATAGACTCGGTTACATATTGTGTATCTGTCTAAGGACCAACTTAGCTTAGTTAAGACAGATGTATTGATAGATTGGCTACTGGTTGACAAGTTTTTGGTCACAATAATTCATGAAGATAGTTTCTTTACATGTACTGCCTTGGCAGATGTAATAATTTATATTTATGTTAAATTTAAGGGGCAGCTAGGTGGTGCAGTGGATAGAGCACTGACCCTGAAGTCAGGAGGACCTGGGTTCAAATCTGGCCTCAGACCAAACACTTTACACTTACTAGCTGTGTGACCCTGGGCAAGTCACTTAACCCCAATTGCCTAAAAAAAAAATTTAAAGAGAACTTTTACATACATTATATTATCTGAGGCCTACGACAACCTTAGTATTGCTAGTCCTGTTTTATAGGTAAAGAAACTGAAGCTCAGGGTAGTAGAGCCAAGACTCACACCCCCTAGGGCTTCTGAGTCCAATTCTCAGTGCTGTTTCCACCATACTACTTTGCCTTGCCTTCTCTATTTTTTCTTTCTTTCATAATCAACCAGCTAATAATGTTTTGTTTTGTCAATAAGCCTATTTTACTTAAAATAGCTAAAATACTTATTTTTCTGTTGTTATAAATACCAATGAAAAGGAACATATTTTTAATGGTCCGTCTTTCCCAATCAGGCTAGCTATTGAGTTGTAGTAGAACCGAAAATATATTTTCCTGATAAAACTCTATTGTCTTATCAGCAGAACCCTGTAACAGTAGAATTGAGAAGGATCTCTTTTTATACTTGAGAAGCTTAGAAAGCTATTACATAAGAAAACGAGAGCGCCGCTTTCACATACTGGTAAAATTCCTCCATTACAGCAGCATGTGCTTCATTTCTAGAAAGCAAAAAAATGAAATTACTTTTTCTTTCCTAATAAAACCCTTTCATTTTTCCTTCTTAATAAAATCGATCTGGAGAACATGGACAAAGGCCATTTAAAATGCTGCTGTGGGTCACTTGCTGGGTTCTGCCTACAGAAAAATGGTGGGCTTTGCTTTTATAAACTGGTTCTTTACATTGCCATTCTGGGGCCTTTTGATTAACTTGAGTTTTGATGAGCAGGGATATATTTAACCTTTCCTAGTATGTATTTATTACAGCTAGGATTATTTCATCATGCACATATGATGGAGAACCAGTTACAGCAGAATAGAATTCAAGTTTTATCTGCTTTGCAATGAAGTATTTTATATAAGATTACTCCCCATGATTACTGGAAAAAATACAGTATATTTGGATATTTTTTTAAACTGAGGTTTAACCTTAAATATATGTTGAGCTACTTAGATATGGAAATAATAAAAAATGACATATAAAACAAAGTAGCTAATACCAAGGTACAACTTTAAGTTTTATATTGAAGCACTAAGTGGGGGAAATGTTTGGAAACTTTCCTGAATTTACCCTTTTAATCTTGAAAATTGCCATTTTTCCTCAATCATAATACATTTGTAATGGAACAACTTTCCAGAAAGAAGACCTGAATATAGCACTCCAATGAAGGAGGTCCAAACAGGGAAGTTATCTTGTTAGTGCTTTAATACGACAAAATGTTATCAGATCTTCTATTAACCAGCGTTTCAATATCACAGTGATAATTGATAGTGAGAATCCCAAGGCTTAATAAAATCTTGAAGTGCCTTTTGGAGCATCAGATAAATATTAGATTATATTCACTAGATTTTTAATGCAGTATGCTGAATTATTGATATTCTAATTCTTTGAAGATTTGCAATCCATATATCTTTTCATATGGTAACTAGCTGTGAGGCCTTGGCAAGTCACTTAACCTAGCAGTTAAATCTTTAACTACCCAGAATACCTGAATGCTCAACCATTCAGGAGACTGGAGACAATTATGTAAAGATATGAACTTGTTTCACAAATATAACTCAATTTTCCTTTTTTTTTCTTTTAGTGATAAGAATGAGATAAAAATGAGGTAGAGATCATTGAGGTTAGAATATATTTTTCAAAAGAGTTCAAGGTGGGGTCAGCTAGGTGGCACAGTGGATAGAGCACCGGCCCTGAAACCAGGAGGACCTGAGTTCAAATCCAGCCTCAGATCAAACACTTGACACTTACTAGTTGTATGACCCTGGGCAAGTCACTTAACCCCAATTGCCTTAAAAACAAAAAAAAAGAATTCAAGGGAAAGTATGGATGAGAAATTTGCCCAAAGTCAATAAATCCAAAAAATATATATATATATTTCAGACTGTAGTTTTTCAAGTGTTCCTTTGTGGGAGGAAATTCAAGTGGTACTTTAATTTTTGTTTTACAGCAAAAGTTTTCAAAGTCTGGACCAGTTATCAGCAGAAGTTAGTCTATCTCAGACATCTCTGGGTCCAGCCCATTCACAGGATGGAGATGGCAAACAAGACGTGTTAAATTTACTAAGTGAAGGTAAGCAGTGTTTACTTGCAACATTCTTTTTTTTCCTACTGCTTTGCTATGTTCATAGAGAATCAGAATTTGCTGTTGGGGATGGACTTTATGCAGAGCATACTAGGAATGTTACCTGGGCCTGAAAGGGGCTTAGAAGATCTTCTCATTCCATTCTCTTATTTTATAGACAAAGACATAAGACCCAGGAAAGTTAAATAACATCCCAAGGTCAGAAAGGTAGGAAGTAATAGATCTAGAATTTAAATGACAGTCCTCTGAATCCAGAACTTTTTCTGTCAACTACACCACTCTGTGATGATGGTTTCTTTTCTTTTCCTTCTCATACATTTAAATACAACGAGAAGTCAGTTAAACAAAAGCTCAAGGAATGGGCTGTTTATGGTTAATCAAATTTTCTGACTAATCGGCCATCTTTTATTTCATGATGCAGTAGAAAGTGCAGCTGACTTAAGTCTAGCCACCTAGCTTTGCATCCTGGTTCTGGCACTTGTTACCAATGAGACAACTGGGGCAAGTTACTGAAACTCTCGGGGCCTCAGATTAGTCATTTCTTTTTAAAAAGGGAATGGAGATTTGGACTAGATGATTTTGTAGGTCCTTTCCATCTCTAAATCTATAATCCTTGTTGAAAAAATATTAATTAGTTCATTTAACTGCTTTTAGTTAAAAAAAATAGGCTGTAATGGGGATATGCTGGAGCCAGCTCAAAAGTCAATTGTTAAATTTTTAGTATGAGCATTTACATCTTGGAAATCTGCAAACACTACAAAACAGGCCATGATTTGTTATTTTGTTGGTTAAGAAAGTGTTGCTTTGTTGTTGCTGACATAAGAAAGTGATGGAGAAAATGTTAATAATGCTGACTAAACTTAAAAGTGTGTTGTGCGTTACACTTTTTTTTTTAAACCTGGAGAACCAGTTGTGAAACATTTACCCACACACTCCTGGCTGTACATCCTTTGATAAGGATGATGAAGTTCTAGACTAGAACTTTATAGTTTACAAAATTATCATCAGCAACCTAATTACTACAAATAATATTTTGCCCACTTTGCAGATGAGAAAACTGAGTGGTTAAGTAACTTGCCCCAAAGCCTCATAGCTCATAAATGGCAGAGTCCCAGCCAAACCTTTGGGCTTCTGAATTCAGTGTTCTTTCCACTAGAGTCCAGCTGTAGTACCTCATGACCATCATGGGGAAGATAAGATATTGTTGTCCACAGTTTTAAAATGAAATGATTTTAAAAACAACAAACCAACCTCAGTCTCTACTGTGCGCTTGTTTTCTTGTGACCTTCCTTTTTATTAAAGTGCAATGCAGAAAAAGTTTTAAGGATTCTGTATAATTGCTGACAACCCCTCACTGCTTGCCTGTAAGTTCCTTTGTGCCTAAGACAATGAGAATTGAGACTGACCAACACTGCAAGTACTTAACATTGAAAGAAGCCACCATCATATAAATCACAAAAGTGCACCATCTTGTGGCCAGTCACAGACACTGCAAGGGTTCATTCTTCGGCTGCAATTGTATTTTACCATCATGGGCAATTTTTCAATTCGCGTTATGTTACGCTAACAGAACTTAATTTGATTGATCACAGCCTGTGATTTTCAAAACTCCTTGCTCAAACCCTAACAGCCACTTACTGTGTCGTTGGGCAAATCACTTCAACATCTCCTGTCAAGTTGAGCGAGGGGGGTTGAAAGAGATGACCTCTGAGACTCCTTCGAGGTCTGCTTTGATCATTTTCTTACCTGCTATTTGCAAGGTTCTACACTACTTACTCCCACAAGATCTGCTAATTTGATATGAGATGAAACCTCGAATTCACATACTGCATCATCTCAGGAAGATGAAAGTACATCCTCTCTGTGGGGTGGTAGACAGAGCTAGAGCCCTGGGACTGCAATCACAAAGACCCGAATTCAAGTGTGATCTCAGTCACCAGCTGTGGGATCCCTGGGCAGTTCTCTTAACCTCTGTTTGCCTCAGCTTCTTCATCCTAATGGTGGTTTTTTGAAGAGCAAATGAGACAATCGTAAAGTGCTTAACAAAGTGCCTGGCACATAATAAGCAGTATATAAATGTTAGCTGTTATTATTTTAAGAGATTAAATGCAGAGGTTTATCACTGACTGGCCATGAGGTCAGTAATTTTTTAGTAACAGCAACACTTTAAAAACATTTTATTGATGTTTTTAATTTTTACAAAAGTAATTTCCCAATAACTACCAGCTACCCCTAATACAGTATTAATATCCCTTATAACAACAGTAACAAAAAAGTTAACCCAAGCAGAGATCATACCCGACAGTACCTGCAACACTTTACCCTCAAATTGTTCATCATCTTTCTACCAAGAGAAAGGAAAACAAATGTTGGTTACTGTATTTTAATTTGGATGTCATTTAGTGTTGTTGGGCATCTAGGCGTCACAGCGCTAGACTTGGAATTAAGAAGATCTGAGTTTGAATCCTACCTTGGATACATATTAGCTGTGTGACTCTAGGCAATCATTTAACCTCTGTGGGCCTCAGTTTCCTCATCTATAAAAAGGGTAGAAAAATACCTACTTCCTAGGGTTGTTTTGAGACACTACACATAAAACACTTTACAAATCTTAAAGCACTATATATTATTAGTTTCACTGAAATTACGGTTATCATGGTTTATGTTATTTTCCTGGCTCTTTATCAGGTCATAGAAATCTTTTCATTTTTCTCTGAATCCCTCCTGTTTGTCAGTTCTTACGATCATAGATTCAAAACCAAAGGTCATCTAATCCACACTCCCCTCATTTTACAGATGAGGAAATTGAGGCCCAATGAGGTTAAGTGACATGTCCAACATCACAAAGGTAGGGTGTGATGATATTACATTATGTTTGCATACCGGCTTGGTCAGACATACTTCAATAATGGGCATATTCCACTGTTTAAATTTTTTTTGTCCCCACTCTTTTTGTGCCCATTAGTGGGATTTAGTAGGTGAAAGGGCATGAACTTAGTAATCTTTATCTTGTCATTCTAAATCGTTGTCCAGAATAGCGGGAACATTTCACAGCTCTACCAACAGTATGATAGTAGCGTTCCTGTCTTACCCCTTCCATCACTCACTATATTTTCATCAACATCAATGTACCATGTTGCAAAAAAGTTTCCATTTGGTATTGTTGAAGAAAATATGTGCACCCATTAAAGTGACAAAACCTTGAAGTGCTAGACTTGTATAACATCCTTCAGTGCCAAAAATGTATTCGTTAACCTAATCCAGTTTCTGTTAAACTCTGATTGTAAAGGTCAAACTCAGATTTTTGACAGTTACTTAGGTAGTATATGTGGTAGAAATAGGAGAGACATTTTGGTTGATGTGTATGATTATACCTAAGATTTTCTGGGTTTAGTGAGTACTTGCTTTGGCTAAAAGGGAAGTGAGGTTTGTATTTTTTTGTTTGTTTGTTTGCTTTTGTAAAGGTAAGGTCAGAGCAAGAGAGAGAATTTCTTCCTGCTTGATCCTTTTTCTCTCTCTAGAGCTCTGTCCATTATATTACGCAGCCATACAAGTTAAACCTTTTTAAAAGAATCTCCTGGGGCAGCTAGCTGGCACAATGGATAGAGCACCAGCCCTGTAGTCAGGAGGACCTGTTTCAAATCTGGCCTCAGACACTTACTAGCTGTGTGACCCTGGGCAAGTCACTTAACCCCATTGTCTAGCCAAAAAAAAAAAAATCTCCTTAACTCAGTTACAACGTACACATTTCTAGAAATCCTTCAAGGAATTATTTTAATGTCACATGGTGTGACCAATGTATCTAATAATTGGGTTGGGACATAAATATATGTACATACATATATACATTATGGGTGTATTTATTATTGACTAGGGCTTTTTCTTTCTCCTCAGATCAAGTTTTGGGTTATTCCTGTTCTAGGCATGGAAAGCATAAACCAACTTTGAGGTTCTGATGACTTTCCTTAGTGCTAATCCACTCAAATGAAAGTGATAGCAAACCTGCAATGTCATGCAAATGCCATGTGAAATGCCATGCAAGCTGTAACTTACAAGAGCTCACTGCTAAGGGAAAATGTATTCACAAATGAGTCATTTACTCATGTAATGAGACCTGTAATTTTATCAGTGTGGGTGTTCTCATCAGCCACAAAACACAAGTCCTAGTTGTCATCACCCAAGTAATCTCATCATCCAGGTGATGAGAGAGCCAAGCTCCTCAGACCCACATCTAGTCCATCACCAAACCCATGCAATGAACCCTTCTAGGTGGGTAGGACCTGGTGGAGTTTGTGCTTTACTCTCATATTTGGGAACCCAGGGAACATTATATCTGTGTAGATAAATATATACACAAATACACATACACACACATATATGTCAAAGGAAGAAATTATCACCATGGACACGAAGTTCTGCCCATCATCAGTCTGGGGGTGAGGGGTGGATGTTAATTCAGAACCTTTCCTGGGCAGTGGCTAAATCAAGGGCAAAATAGCCTTAGATTTAAAGACTGTGCCTTCCTTTTCATTGCATTTCTTAGTTTCCCATTTTGTTATACTTTAGATGAGCCAGGAGCAGCTTTTGAAATAAGCTTGATGTCAACTTGATGAAGGTTTTACTGCTAAGGATATTTTTGTGTGTGTGTGAAAGATATCTTCTATGTTGCTGACTTTGGAAGATACCTAACACCTAAGATCCTACAACAGTATTTCTTGAATAACTCCGATTTCATGCTGTCAAATTAATTTCACATTTCTAGAGATGCAAGATATAGCAAGGCAGTAAATGAAACAAAACACTGTGGTACCCCCAGAGAGAATAAAGAATACAAATCCATACAAACAGGTCTCAAAAGTTAGGTATGTGAATAAGTAGAATAGAGAGATGATGGCTTTTTCGAAGTGAATTAGCATTAATGAAAGGCATCAGAGCTCATTCACAGGCCAAATTGGTTTATGCTTTCCCTGCCTAGAACACAATCCCCCATCACAGGTCTTGTAGAATCTTTGGTTTTCTTCAAGCTTGGCTCAAGCACCATCTTCTCCAGGAGGCTTTCCCTGATACCTATTTTGTATGTATTATTGTGTGCACGTTTGTCTCCCCCAGTAAAATGAAAGCAAATGCAGAAATTTCACTTTTATCCTTCTATCCACAGTACCCAATACAGTTAGCACCTTATGCTTGCTGATTGACACTGACAGGGGACATAAGGACCCAGGAGAATGACGGCCCAGCCCTTATTAAAGCAAATGCCATGCTTGGTGGTCTGGTATGATGCAGATGTTGCTACAGAAAAGCTTGAACTACAGTCAACACTACCCAGGCCTCATACTGTTGTTTGGTTTCTCCCTTGCTACTTTTATACATACACAAGTTGGAAGAAATGTTGAGGGCAAAGGACGTCTGGCTGGAATTTGATTGTTTTCAAATGTACAGGTTGCCTTCCATGGTGGGAATGCACTGTCTCCTCACCCCTGTAATCCAGGAATCTCTGGCTTTCTTCAAAGCTCAATTCAAGTCAGAGATGCCAGTCTTAATCCTCCTGGGTCCTGCTGCCATCCCTCAATTTTTTGTACTTTGCATCAATTTTGAATGTCTTTTTTTTTTTTGCCCTCCCATTGGAAGCCTCTTGAGGGTAGTATAGCTCTGGCCTCACCAGATCACTCAACATGCTCCTGAATAAAAATATGCTCACTTTCACGGCTGTTTAAGGTTTGCAAAGTGTTCAAAACAACCTTGTGGGAGAGTTAGTATCCCCATTTTACAGATGAGGAAACTGAAGATCTCAAAGTTTAAGTGACTTGCTTATACACAGTATCTGAGGTAGGATCTGAACCCAGGCTTCTGCCTCCAGTCAATCAAAAAACATTTACTAAAGGCCTGCTATGTGCCGAGTACTGTGGATACAAAAAGAGGCAAAAGACAGTCCTGTCCTCAAGGAGCTCACAATCTAATGAGGGAGACAACATGCAAACAAATATATTTACACAAGTAGGATTTTAAAATGTGGCAGTTCTCAATGATATTTTTACAGGCAAAAAATTTTTAAAGTGCATATAATGACTTAAATTTTTTTTATTCTCTGAATTCTAGGTAAAGAAGACACTCCCTCATTACTTGGTCTCTGTGGCTCTCTAACCTCAGTAGCAAGTTATAAATCTCTAACAAGCCTGAAATCAAGTGACTACCTTGCAAGTCCCACCACAGAGATGACTAGTCCAGGCTTAACTCCATCTTGAAAAGAGAATGTGATGGCCACCAGAAAAGATGTCTTACGTTGCATACATTCAGTCTACATTCCATGAGTTTGGCTGCCGGGAAGACATTAGTCTTAAGCAAATAGTGATATGCTTTTTCAAGATTTCATTTATATTCTCTTATTTAGAAACCAGTTCATATACTCTCAATGAAGAATATCTTAAACTGATTTTTCTTGTTTCTAGTTTCTCCAATAAATGTGCAATTTTTAAAGGTGAATTGATAAAGATTTTAACAAAAATTTAAACCAGATAGCTCCCCAAATAATTCAAAATGCACATACTATTCAAGTGATTTTTCACATATTTATTTAAATATTTTTAGCTACTAAGATCCGAGTTCATGGGATGTAAACAAAGCATTTTCATGTATTGATGCAGATGGCATCTTAAAGAAGAAATGACACCCAAACAGGGCCCAGACAAGGCAGTTGTATGCCTTAGGCAAGGTCTGGTTAAAAATTCTGTGTTCTGTGTTACTGTCCACTGGAGACATTGAGACATTGTTGCCTCCATGTAACACATACATCTTTGCATACCACCAAGTCTATACCTACATGGCATGGAAAGTAAAACTTTTCTGGCAGTGTTTTTTAAAAATGCTCCTCCTTACCTGGCCCCCATGACCCAGTGGCATTGGGTAACTCCTACTTGCCTTTCCACAGTCTAGGTTCTGCTTCACAACTCCAAGTTTTCATTGAGTTCTGGCTGCGATCTGATGCTTAAATCCAATGCTAACGTATGATTATGAATGTCAGAATCGTTCAGATTTTGAAGAAGCTTATTCAATTAATTTGAAAATACTTTTCAGTTTTTCACATTTACCAGTTGATACTGACATTCCACTTCACCTTTTGTAAATTTTATAGACATTTACCTTTTCAGACAGTTGATAATGTATTTGATAAGGTCCAGGAAAAAGAGATTTATAATAACCTAGATGCACTTTAGTGAAACGGTTAACTAAATTCCTTGGCCAGGTTTCCCCATAATTTTCTAAAAACCTAGATGGTAAGTTGCCATGTATGTGGAGATACACACACACACACACACACTCACTCATTCACTCACTCCAAAAGAAAAACTACGTAAAAGCGTGGAGAAAATTCTAAAAAATTAGAAACGATTTGGATGGCTGAAATTTAAACATCTCTGATAAAATCATATATACCACACTAAAGTTTTTTTCTCTCCAATATGAAACAGCAATAAAGTCTGTTTTTCCAGGCTTTATCATTAATCACACTGGTCCATTAAAAACAAAATTATTAATAAAGTTTGCTCCATATTTCAAATGGTAATACTTACCTACTATGTGACATTGGACAAATTATTTGACCTGAGAATCAATATTCCCATCTATAAAATGAGTTGAGACTAAATCTTCTAATATCTGATAATTAACTTTCACATTTGGTGTGTAAAGGTAGGGAGCTTCTTCTAAATAAGGCATGGATTATCTTTCTAGGCTTCAGATTCCATAGCGACAAATAATCATCTATTTATAAATCCCACTATACTAATTTAGAGTAAAAAATAGATGATTTATTTTCTATAGCTGCTTTGTTTTGGAGGGGAAGGGGAACATAGTCTATATTTTGTTGTGCCAAAGAAGTTTTTTAAATTGTTTACATGAAGTTACTGCAACTGGAGACTTCACATCTTTGTTTTGAGATAGTATTGTTTATGATAGATATGACTGATTTATATTTTAAAATACAGAGTAATGTAGGTTGTTTAAGTACTTGGCACTGCTTATTTACTTGATTTCCATGAAGGAATAGTTGGAGTAATAGAAATTTAACCTAGTTATTCTTTGGAATAGAAATTAAATGAATGTGGGAATTTATTGAATTACTTCGATGTTACCTAGCCACTCTAATAATTTACACTAAAAATAAATAAAAGTACTTGTAGGTAGAATAAGTAGGCTTAAATTGTATGATTTCAGGGAAAAAAGAAATCCTGTCAATGATAAAAATTTTTTATCCTCTCCCACCTCCCTTATTATGATAGCTTATAATTTAAACTATCTTGATACAAAGGATTTAAGAGCGGATTTTGATTATAGTCATAGGGGCAATGCAGTCAAATGCCTGCCTACTTAATCTTTGCCTTGGTCCTGGATTAATAGTGCTACTTTCACAAGAGGTGCCACTGAAAATGGCAACATTTATTGTAACTATCAACCTACCTTTACGACATCCTATTTTTAGGTTATTTATTAAATAACTAATTTGCATCCATTTTTAGTATACTGGAAAAAGGTGGAATCTTTAAAGTGTTAAGATTTTATTTAAAAGATACGGTCAATACTTTGTGCATTCTTACATTTTACTGTGTGCAGAATTAAACATTTTTCTCAGCTCATTGTATCAAAGACACAATCACAATTTTTTACTTCTGTCGTGCTCCCTTGGAGCTCTTGGAGTAAAGTTCATTTGCTCTTGTGGAACTTCAGCTTTCTACACAGGTCATTTCATAATAGTCATAGAATTTATAGATGTCTGTGCATGAGAAAACTGTATGTCTCAAGACTCAGTTCTAAATGGCAATGTTCATTGTTCAGGAAAAAAATATCATGAATGTTGAATTAATGCCAAAACTTGTATGGTGTATTTTGTTGCCTTGATACATATATTTGTTGCACGTAAATTAAACATTTTATAGCCATCAATAGTGACTATTTTCCTTTGCTTCTACAGTATAATTCTAACAAGAATATAAAATATGGGAAGAATTTACAATTTCATTTTTTTAATGGGTACTTATTTGGAGAAATACATTTCAACACAAGTAAAAACTCATTATCATCATATATTTATTTTATTTTATTTTTTTGGTGAGACAATTGGGGTTGAGTTGTCCAGGGTCACACAGCTGGTAGGTGTCAAGTGTCTGGTCTGAGATGAATTTGAACTCAGGTCCTCCTGACTCCGGGGGCTAGTGCTCTATCCATTGCATATATTTATCTTACACAAGATCTTAACAAACTATTATTGCCTAGTGGTGCCAGAGCTAAGGTTTTGGATTGATTTGAGCTTCCGTTTTCTCCATCCTTGCCACTGAGCATGTTAGGTAAGTTGTCACAGTGGCACATTTCAGAGTATATTTCAAGCAAATCAAAGACTGTATTATTTTAAAATAGGTCTCCTATATAGAGTAGAAAAATTAAAAATTACTCAGAACTGATGTCTTAACATTTATACCATCTTGGAACCAAGTTGAAAACCTTTAAAGTGACACTAAATCAAACTTGGGATGATTTTTCCTGAGATCCTCCTCCCCAAAGGGAATAATTTTAAACAAGAGATTTATATTAGGGTAAATAAACATAATGGATATAATCTAACAAGAAGGATTCTTTTTAAGCAGATACTCACTTGTATAAAAGCCTTGTTTCACACCCAATAAAGCTATCCAATCTAATACTTGGAGAAAAAACTTTTTTCCTTCCGGAAACAAATCAAATTAATGATATGCAGTTAAGAAGCAGTACATTCAAAATTTGCAACAAATGTATTCCTTCTGGAACCATCAAATCACAAAGAAACTTGGTATGCATGTACCATGTCTGTTGTACTTTAAGAAAGGAAAGCTGATGATATTCCTGAATGACAGTTGATCATTAATTCCTTGAATTCATAAAAAGTTGGAAATCTGAGCACAGCATTCCACTGATTAGACAATCTTTATGTAATTTCTTCAACAGAGGCAATACTAAAGGTTTTTTTTGTTTTGTTTTTAAACATCCATCTTTACTTCTGAACCATGATAGAGATACAATGTGCTCATATACTCACATGCAGCTAACCCTAACTTAGTAAAAGCGTATTTATGTCTTCAAGTAAAAGATGATCTTTAATAAGTATGGGATATTTATTCCCATAAAGTTCCATCTTATTCTCTATGGCCTGTCCGTCAGACGTTCTACATTGCTATCCTTAGTTTTCTTCAGAGCCCACTTTGAAAAGAGGGCTGTTCTGATGCTACAAGGTCCTAGTACTCTCTATCTCTTGGCATTATTTTGTATTTACTGACCTGTTTTCATTGTGTATCCCCTCAGGAGGCCTTGGAATCCTTAAAGGCAAGGACTGTTTTATCTTCGTATCCCCAGCACTACCACATATGATAGGGGATTAGTAAATAACTTGTTTAACCTATTTGAATTCAAGAAAATTTTCTATTTCTTCTCTGTAGAAAATGATAGGGCTTAGAGCTGGAAGGGACTTGAGCTCATATGGTCTAACCCTTTCTTTACAAAGGAGGAAATTGAAGTCCAGATAGATTCAGTAACTTATCCAAGGTCATATAGGAAGTATGGATCTAAAGCCAAGTCTGGATTTCAAATTCATCATTCTTTTTACTACATTAAGTAACTTCCGTGGCTAAATGTGCAGAAAACCTCAATTTAATTGCTTTTCATTGGTACATATCTTTGTATGTAATTTAGCTATGTTTCTTTAAAAATAACTGTCAGTTATACTAAAAACAATTCAAGGTAAATAGAAAGATGAAATGTAATTAATCTTTGTCATATTTATCCATGATGTTGAAGATGAAATATACACAGGAGAAAAGACTACCACCTGAAAACCCAGATTTAAACACTTTCTTCATTTCATTATCAATGCAAATAGAAATAATAAAACTAAGTGTGATAAGTACCAATAAGAACTTTAAGCTTGTTAGTAAGTGGTAACCTAGATAAACTTACACTGTGTATATGCATATCACTCATATAGCTAAACCTAACAAAATTTCAGAATATTATCACTAAAAAGCACTACAAAAACCTTAAATTTAGAAAGGAAGCAAAATCTTTAATGAAAATGAATAAAAAACAAATATACATATATACTGTTTCCAAATGTAAGACAAATCAACATAGGATGAAATAAAATACACATAGTTACATTCAAAACTTGAGATATAAAATTATTTGTTTAGCAAAATACGTGAACTTTCTTAGTTTAGTATAATTGTGTTAATTCTCTAACTCTTACCAGATAATATTTAAATACCCATCTTCTTCAACTATTCCATTCTGAAATTTTTCACATTTTCATGAAAAATATTTAGACCACAATAAAATGCTTGTCTCATAGTATATAAATTATTCTGAGGGGAAAAAAAGATCAAAGAGTAATTTTTAAAATTTATGCTATTTCCGATTTTGTCATTACCTCTTCCTTCATTTCATTCTGACACTTAGTCACACACTATTGGCCTATAACAAGAAAAGTTTCTTTAAAATAAAATGCCACTACCCTTGATTATTGCTTATTTTCATGGTCAGCAGACTAATGTGAAATGTAGTAATATGTGAAATCTGGAAGCAACATGAAAATATTTAGCCACTGATGATGTGATAATCGCTAACATATTAGAACAAGCCTACAAAACTGAGCTGGGAAAACAATGAAAATAACAATGATACCTATTAATCACAAAATAAAAAGCACAGGAATGCGCTGTGCCAAATCTTACTCATTTAAATATAGTGTAGTCCTCAAATGCTAAAGTGAATGTATATAAATAGAAGCATCGGAAAGTAATGAAAAACTTCCTTTTTTATTTCTACCTCAATAGCAGTAGGACCTAAAGTACTCTACATAGTTCTTAGCAATTATCTTATTCATATCACAAACCAGGCTGCCTTTTCAAGTGCTCAACTTATCTGACCCAAATACAGAGTAGTAGTTTTCTAAAGCAATACACTCTCTGCTGCTCCCCCCAGTTAGGATGAACCACAATTTGAAATGAGGACAAAGTTTCCAAGATCCATATTCTTCAAAATTGGCAGAACACAGCAAAAGATGTGTAACTTTTGCTTATAGTGGCAAAAAAAGGATTACTTCTGGATATAAAGATAAAACAATTATGGTTTGTCAGAAGAAATCCTACTATGTACAGGGGCCCCAAACAAACAAAAAACTAAGGAATATCAGAATTAAAAATAAAAACGCACTGGCAATATTTGGCAAGTGCTGGTGTGACGTTATTTGATAATTGTCTTTCATTTCCATTTCAATAAAAAATAAATACTTGTGTACATGATTAAGATTTGCACAAAAGACTTATTAGTCTTTTCTTTTTAAATACTTCACTCCTATCACGGTTTAGGTACAGTTGAAAGACTCAAAGGAGACAACAGGTAACAAAAGAAAATTTAGAATTCAATAAAAAATTCTTGCTGTCTTGTCAAGCTTCTCTCTTTTCCTTTCTAATATTCTCACAAGGGTTATGGATACCTAAGGAAGAATTTTCTTAAACTTTTCCAAAGACAGGATAAAATAGAAAACTTGTTATTAAATTATAATTAGAATTGTAGAATTAATACTTCTTTAAATAAAAAAAAGATATTTAAAAATAGACCTTCAGTTTACACATTTCTGAAAATCTTCCAGCTAATACTATGACCATGATAATTATTTCAAGTCCATACAGTCAGAAGTATGGTATTCCTGTTTGAGGTTTTGCTGGTGGAAAAAAGCCTTCCCAAATTCATATGTACTGACCATAATGGCACAAGCAGGAGCAACTTTAATTAACCGGGGAATTAGTCCTGAAAAAAAAGAATAAGAAAATCAAGAGCACAATTTTTATCTTTCTTAATGATAAATAATCTTTTATTTGGTTATAATCTGATATTAAGTCATTCACTATGTGCAATAGGAAGAATTCTGAGCAAAGATAAAAATCTAATGATTAACAACTCCTTTACATTATGCAATATTCTTTTTAATTTTAAATAACTCATTAAATATTCATAGAATAATAAATCCTCTGCCCAATTAGTTATTAGAAATATGTTGTCTAAATGATTTATTTGAACACCGATTTCTAATGTTTTAATTTCTAAAAAACAGAAGGAAAAATAAATGTGGAAGATATTTTAAAAATTTTCAGGACTCGTAAACTTGACATTTACCTGCAAATAATCCAGAAATTCCATGTTTAGAAACAATCTGCTTCATGATGTCCCATGTTGATGTGGGTAGGTTGTGTAGATCTACATCTATAAATATTAAAATGAAAGAGAACACTGTTATGAAGTACTTACTCATTTTTTGTTTTAGCTATAATGTTCAACATTTATTGTGCCTACAATGTACAAAGCACAGAGAATATAGGAAGACAGTCTGAAAGACTGAAGTGACATGTAAATGAATAAAAAAAATTTACTAAGCACTTACTATGTGCAAAAAAAAAATTATTAATACTTATTGTGTGCAAAGTAGATCAACTAGGTGGCACTGTGGATAGAGTGCTGTGCCTGGAGACAGGAAGATTCATCTTTCCAGGTTCAAATCTGGCCTCAGATACTAGCTGTGTGACCCCGAGCCAGTCACTTAACCCTGTTTCCTTCAGTTCCTCATCTGTAAATTGAGCTGGAGATGGAAATGGCAAACCACTCCAGTGTCTTTGCCAAGAAAACCCCAAATGGGGTCACAATGAGTTGAATAAGACTGGAAAACAGCTGAACCACAACAAAATGTACAAAGTACTGTGCTAAGCCCTGGAGATATAAAGAGAAAAGCAAGACAATCATTGCTCTTTAGGAGCTCACCTTCTAATAGAGGGAGACAATACATATAGGAAAGTTCTGCAGTAGGGCAGATGGGAAAAGCTCAGGGATTCCTAGGGTGTAGTGTCCTTTACACTGATAAAAATCAATTAATTGTATTTCAATCAGTTAAGTTTATTATTTCAAACAGCCACTTAATTCTTTTTTTGTAATTTCAAATTTGAGACCTCTATAGTAAAAATAAATAAGCTATAGAAAGATGTTAACTGTGATATTAAAGAATCTCTAGTGCCAAATGTCTTGATTGATTTTCTATAACTTTCAATCTTAAAAATCATACAATCTCAGAACTGGAAAGGCCCTAAGGGACCATCTAATTCAATAAGTATCTGAACAAGAATACATTCTATTATAACACTAGTATTTGTTCAGTCATCTTTTGAAGAGTTAAAGTGAAAAAAACCCTCATGAGGCAGCCGCTGTACTTCTAGATAGCTTTAATCCTCAAGAAGTTATACGGTGACTAACAATGAAATAACAAATAACAGTGAAATGTTCCCTTCTGCACCCTCTATCCATTGCTCCTCCAGTCTGCTCTGTGAGCCCAAGCAGAAAAGTCTAATCTTTCCTCCACAAGACTGTCTTTCAGATGTTCTCTTTTCTAGACTAACTCCTCCAGTTCCTAAACCATCCTGATCACCTTCCTGTGGTTGCTCTCAATGTTGTCAATGTTCTTCCTGAAATACTGTACCAAGCAAATTAACCTCTTTTTGGACGTGGCCAACGAAGGAATTTGTTTTGCTTGCCTACATATTTGTTCCAAGGGTTTAGCTTGTCTTTTTCAATTGAGAGGAGGAGGAGTGGAGAGAGAAAAGATGGATGTTCATTATTGGGGGAAAAAAATAATAAAATGTTGCTCCAAGAAATGAATACTTTAGATATTATCTGACCAGGACAGAGTACAGCTCAACAACTAAATTTCATGTGTTGGATGCTAGGCTTCATAATATAGCACAAGACTAAATCAATTTTTTTGGCTGCCATGTTGACTCATATTGAGCAAACTAAAACCCCAAGATACTCTTCAAATGAACTACTAACCAGCCATACTTCTCCCCATCATATATACTTCTTCTTCTTTTTTTTTTTTTTTGGCTAGGCAATGGGGTTAAGTGACTTGCCCAGGGTCACACAGCTAGTAAGTTTTATATGTCTGAGGCCACATTTGAACTCAGGTCCTCCTGACTTCAAGGCCAGTGAACTATCTACTGCGCCACCTAGCTGCCCTCATATATACTTCTGAAGATAATTTTTTTAATCCATGTAAGATTTTATATTTTCCCCTATTAAATTTTCTCTTATTTGGCACATCATTCTAGTTTCTTAAGATGTTTTTGAATCATATCACCCAGCACGTTCATTTCTTACCTTATGTCTTATGAAAATTGTGGTAAGCGTGCCATCTATACTTTCATTCAAATCACTGATAAAAATATTGAAAAGAAGAAGGCCAAACAGGCCCTCACACAACCCTGAAAGGCCTCCCCTTAAAGTGACGTTGCTCCATTAACAACTGTTTCATGGGTCTTTTTATTCAACCAGTTAATACCTCATTGACTATAATACTATCTAACCCAAATACCTCAATTTGGTCCAGAAAGATATGAAAGACTTGTTTATTAAGTATTTATTAAGGACCTATTATATGCCAAGTACATAGTGAAAGGGACCACAGGTTTACCAGGACAAAAATGAAATAGTTCCTACCCTCAAGAAACTTACATTCAATTGATAGAGACAACAGATACAGACAAACACATAAACAAAATAAACAAAAGATAATTTGGAGGAGAGGGATCAGAAAATTCCTAAGGTAGAGGATGATACTTGAGGTGAACACTGAAGAAAACAGAGGGCAGAACTTACTTAAGCTACACAGAACAGAGGCACAGAGCCAGGAGGTGAAGCATCATGTTTGATAAACAGCAATAAGGCCACATGGCCCAAAGTGAAATGGACTAACTTGGGAGGTCATGATTTTTCCCTCAGAGGTCTTTAAGCAATGGCTGGATACACTTGCCAGTTATGTCACAGGAAAAAAGAAATCCAGGTGCAGGTTTGGACTAAGATGGCCACGAGGTCCCTTTCAACTCTGAACAGGCTATGTTTCTGTGACTGTAGAGTTCAACAATAATAATAATAATAATAATCATTCTATAGTCATCACAGTGAGGCACCTAATTAAATTATATGCAATACATGTTAGAAAAATTTCTATAAAAAATTTTAAACTAAAAAGTAAACTTTCACTTGAAAAATTCACTTGTAGAACTTCATTTTCTGAAGATGGTATATAAAAGAAATATTATTGTATGTCAAAAGTATTATTATGAAATATAGTAAATGTAATAAACCAACCAAATAGACCTAAAAAGGTTTTTTAATATGAAAACATATGTAGATTGTTCTCCTCAATTCCTGAGGCCTTTTCAAAATTCTATGATTATAGAGAGGAGATGTGATCTAATCAATTGGCAAAATCTTTCCCCCCAAATATTCTTTCTAGGAATTAGAAGAAAAGGGAGTAATGGATAACATCTAAAGTCTAATAAATAAGCTAGAGACTTTAACTTGCAATTAGACATTTTTATTTCATTAAAACATTAGTTTAAGTTTGTAAATTAATAACTAGAGTTTAGGTAATGAATGCTATAATTTTAAGAGCTGGTTTTTTTTTCCTTAATAGAAAACACCTAAGAAACTGGGTCACGTAGTCTGATTTAGATGCCTGGTCACAGATTTCGGGCTGGAAGGGACCTCAGAAAGCATATGTCATGTATACAAATCCAAGGTGGCACCATCTAAGTGAGTAAGAAGTTATCGGAATAATGGCTAAAAAGAAAAACTCCTGGCTTTGCAATGCCAAATATAATAAAAGACTAAGATCAGGGATTTGGAGGGGTGGGGGAATCTAAATTCTAGTGAGAGTGGTGTGGGAAGAAGCAAGAGTAACTGTTATTATAATTTTAACATAAGGCCATAATGAATGAAGATAATAATGAATGATGGATGAGTTTGGGCTCCTTCACAATTTTACCTAGGGCCAATTTTGGTCAAATAGGTCCAATTCTGGTTGACAGGACCAAAAGTTTCTTTGAGTCTAGCACAACAAAGAGCAAGCTAAACAAAAGTAGGTATCAGAATATATCAATGTCTTTAAAAAAAGACTGTAAATAGATCGCTCCAATTTGGTTAATACCTAACTTATTTTCATGTGAACTATACTATATAGTGCTAGTTGCTTATGGCAACATCATTTTTCTATATTGTAATTTTATTCTAGAGCTTACCAAATAAATAAATAAATAAATAAACAAAACCAGCACCATAACATCCTAGTACAGAACTTGTAGGGGCATTTTTTTTCCCCATCAAGTTTACTTTGAGGGATACACAAGCTTTGAAGAGCAAGAAACAGCCATTAAACTAGCTACTTCCTAGCCTAAGAGAAATGTTGCTACCAGAAAGGATCTGTAGAATCAATCAATAAGCTGCAGTCCTTCGGGAAGGGACCATATTTTTTAAAAGTAAAAAAATGGGCAGGAAAACACTATATACTAAGAAAGTGAAAGAAAGCCAAAATAAGCGGAAAAAACCAATGAAGAGAACGAAGAGAGAAAATTTCCCTATATTTTCCCTTCCTCATGCCTTGGTTTACCTATAGTTGATATTTTTTAAAACATAGGAAAGAAAAGAAGAGAAGGTCGGGACATAAAAACAGAAAATGATAGAGAAAGATCATTAAAATCATTTTATACTTAGACCTCATGGATACTCTATCTACTTGTAATCATTTCAAACACAAACATGGGATTTGCTTAATGAGAATTTTTAAAAATAAAAATTTAACATTTGTTAAGTGCCAAATGTGATTAATAGGTCAAATAACAAAAAAGGAAATATATTTAGCACATTAAACTATAATTTATCAGATAAGTGTGTACAAATAGAGGGGTTTAATAGACTAGAAAAAGGGGGAAAGAAAAGGCTAGGAGGTTCAAAGAAACTTCATGAAGAAATACCACCTAATCAAGGCCTTAAAAAATGAGAAGAATTTCAATAGGCAAAGATATTTGAGGGAAAAATATGCTAGGCTATAAAATGTTGGAAGTTTTTCCTCTAAAATCTCTCTCTCTCTCTCTCTCTCTTTTTTTTTAAATTGGGCAACTGGGGCTAAGTGACTTGCCCAGGGTCACACTGCTAGTAAATGTCAAGTGTTTGGTCTGAGGCCAGATTTGAACTCACATCCTCCTGACTTCAGGGCTGGTACTCTATCCACTGTGCCACCTAGCTGCCCCTAAAATCTCTTTTAAAATCACTTTTCTGAAAACTGAATCAGTGTGAATTTCTTAATTAATTAAATTATTATAGTCAGCAGAGGACAAGACAAGACATATTTTTAAATTTCAAATTTCGTAACTAGGTTATTTTATATAATAGATTATATGCCTCAAATAGGAGAAGAACAGAGAAAATCTTTTTAAAAAATCAGTTGAAAAAGTCACAAAACTTACCTTCATATCTCCAAAGTCTGGTTTGTTTTTGTGTTTTTACAACATCAAATGGTAAAGTCACAATAGATGCAATCTATCAAAAAGTAAACACTAATTACTCTTTATCTTTAAATAATATACTAAGAGTAAACTTCCTGCTTGCCCCCAAACATCAGAATTTGTATGATTAATAAACTATTTAACATTAATATTAAGAAAATCCTATTTTCCTTGATTCTAGTGCTACAGATTAATGGAACATTTGGTGTAGACATGAGGTCCAAGCATAAGGATTACTTCCTAATGAGAGACAATATGATATTACAGAAAAATATGAACTTGCAATTAGTCAGACCTCTCGCAAGTGACAAACTCACTGAGTCTTTCTTTAAATGCAAAATGTAAATAACACTTGTACTTCCCACTTCATAAAGATATAATATGGTTTAAAATGAATCGATCAACAAGCATTTATTAACCACCTACTAAGGTGCCAGAATCCCTGGTGATCTAGTCACTAACATTCAGCACTTTCACTACCACCACCCAGTTCAATCCCCAGTGAGGGAAGGCCTTTGGGCATCCAGGTGGTACAGTGTAGAGTGTGTTAGGCCTAAAGTCAGGATGACTCATCTTCCTGAGTTCAAATCTGGCCTCAGATACTAGCTGTGTGACATTGGGCAAGTTACTTAACCCTGTTTGCCTCAGTTTCCTCATCTGTAAAATGAGCTGGACAAAGATCATTCCAATATCTTTGCCAAGAAAACCCCAAATAGGGCCACAAAGACACAGACGCAACTGAAAGACAACTAAACAACAACTATAATGTGCCAGAAACTATGCTAGGCTCTAGAGATATAAATACAAAGACAAGACAGTCCCTGTCCTCAAGGAGCTGACTTACAATCTACTGGAGGATACATGTTCAGAGATAAATCAATAGAAGATGTACACAATAAATATAAAGTGATTAGGAGGCACTATCAGGCACTCAGGAAATTAGGATTGATAAATGAGATAATACACATGAAAGTACAAGTAACATAAATATAAATTATTACTAACAGCTATCTACAGATACCAATGATCTAACAAGGTTCAAAAATGGGCTTGTCTGGGGCAGCTAGGTGGCGCAATGGATAGAGCACCGGCCCTGGACTCAGGAAGACCTGAGTTCAAATGTGGCCTTAGACACAGAGCAGTTACCAGCTGTGTGACCCTGGGCAAGTCACTGAACCCCACTGTCTAGCCCCCCCCCCAAAAAAAAGGGCTCGTCCACCTCTGACTCTACCTGTGTGACCTCAGACAAGTCATTTAAACTCCCTGGCCCTCAGTTTCTTCATTTATAAAATGAAGGGGTTAGACTAGAAGGCCTTTGAAATCCCCACCAGCTCTAAATCTATAACCCTATATAAGTTAGTCAAAAATTCGTCACAGATTGTCAATGTAAGATAGCCTTTTAAGAAAGCGTTTATTTTAGTATCTATATATATTTTACTATAGTTAAAGCATTTGATTTATTTTGTTTAAATAGTATTGTAAATACTTCAGAAAACCATTTTTGATTAGCTAAATTTATTGTTAGAAAAAAACATTTTAAATGTCTAGGAAAGCTACGTGACATGAGAAGCAGTATGTGCAACAGCAGAGAACTAGCCTCAGAGTCAGGAACACCTAGGTTCAAGTCTTGCCTCTGACACACACTCACTGTGAAAACTATGGGCAAGTCACTTAACATTTCAGCCACCCAAGGAACTCCTTACAAGCATTAGCTACAGAGAACTGGTAATCTGCATCGTTAGAAGGAGTTTCCATACAAAGAGTTTTCTATGCCAATAAATTTTATGATCAGACCCCTTTCCCCACAGGAAAAAAATTGTATTTACACATTGCTTCATTTAGTAGTTATATATATAATTTTAAATTATATAACCATCATTATTCTGAAGTATTAATAACAGAAAAACGACTCACAGAACCAGACACTGCCCCTGCAGCAAAATTAATCACAAAAGTTGGCTCATGTTTGTCAGAGTTTTTGCAAAGCCACTTCTTAAACACTTCAAAGTTATACCAATACATTGCTGTGAAAACAGAAAAGAAATATTGAGAAGTGAAATATAAAATCTGATATTACAAATTTATATTATGTTAATAAATGGAGAAAAAGAAAACTCTAACTGGGACAGAACCAACATAGGCCATTGATTATTTGCTTTCTGATCAGTTTTTCTCTGCTCAAGCACATTTCAGGTGGTATGCAGAGGTGTCAAGAGTGAAGGTGAACCAGATAAAAATGTAATTGGGAAATATTTAACAAAATCAATAAAAATCTAAATAATCCACACCAACACTTCCATAAAAATTCCACCTTATTTCCCCCTATGTTAGAGGCACATATTCAAGAATTTTTTTCTTTTCTTTTTTTTTAAATGTAGTATCTTATTTTCCCCTAGTTACTCAAGGATTTCTTTATCAAAAACTTTGTACTATGATTACTTTTCATTAATGTTATAAGAGGAACATTAAAAAAAACAAAAAAATAGAAAGATGTGTAATTATAATGACCAACCTTGACTGAGGAAAAGAGTTAGGAAAATGCATCTCCCTCCTTTCACTGCAGGAATGGGAGAGACTATGGGTATGGAAATATTGTATAACACACTATCAGATGCAGTTGATTTTTCAGTTGGATTTGCTGAACTTTTTAAAAATCTTTGTTACAAAGGAGGTTACAAAGATGGTAAGGGGACTGGGAAGAATTTATTCAGAAATTAAATATGACTAATATGACTTAAAAACAAAACTTAAGTATTAACAAATGGAAAAAAACCAGGTTAACTGGAAGGAAACACATAAGCAGCTGTTGGTTAACTTTCTGACTGGAAAAAAAGCAGTTCTAGGGAAACCAAATGGAGTCCAACTTTTTTGATCTCTCAGTAGAGACCACTTTGTTGTGACTGTGAAGAAAAACATACAAAGAGCTGCAATTCAGTCAATTATGTGAGCTGAGGAGAACTGACCAATTCTTTCTGATAAGGCGAGGCAGTTGAAGTGAACTTTAACCACATATAAATGCCAAGTTCAAAAGTACTTTCTAGAATGTTTCTAACTCCTAGAAAGGAATCAGGATAAGTTGCTACCTCAGTCTATAAGTTAAAATTGAAATCAGAATAAATTCGGTCATTGGTAACCTTTCAAGTTTAAAGATAGAAGAACTTAACTTCTTTCTATACATTGTATCTTGAATTACATTTTTTATTATTAAAGTGTTACTAATTGCCAGATAGTTAATTTCTATGTTGTGATAGCAACTGGTAGCTATAGTCAGGTCCTCCTTTCTTCTATTTCCCCCTTTTCTTCCCCTCACCCCCCAAAAAACCCATAGAGGGTGGGAAAAGACTAGCTAAACATAAGAATAACAAAAAACTTGGTAGCTAATGATAATGAAATTGTGATTTAGCAATGCATTACTGCTAAAACATACATAAACACACCATAATAGGATGTGTTTTGAAAGGAGAATAATATACAAGAACCAATAAATAATCTCTATATTTTAAAAAGTCATTATTGTTCAAACTGTTAATAAATTCTTAGGTTCAGCTTAAGTTTTAGCCTTTGCTTCTTAAAAAAAAGATGTGGAAAAACTAGAGAGTTAAAAAATGTACAAAAAATTAGAGGAAAAGGTACTATGAAAAACATAACAGCTGAAATAAGGAAACATATAAGAGAAGTTTAGAGAAGTGATAATACTAGCAAGGATTTATGTACCTCTTTAAGGTTTTCAAAGCACTGTACACATTATCTTAATTGATCTTCACAACAACTGATGAAGAAATGGAGGCTGAAAAGGGTTATGTGACTTGCCCAGGGTCACACAGTTAATATGTGACTGAGGCAGGATTTGAACCCAAGTGCTCTTGACTCAAATTCAGTGATCTATGCCACCAGCTGCCTCTGACAAATACATAACTTATTAATATATAAGAAGATGCTGATTAATGTTTTATTTTTCTACATAAGACTAGAAGACAGAAAGTAGAGTTAAATTGAAAACAGGTTTTATTAAACATAAGCTCTTACTGATTAAGATTAAGCAGTGGAATAGGCTGCAAAGAAGCACTGCCATAGCTCCTTTGGACACCTTTAAAAGAGATTAGATATCTGTTTGGGATGGGGATGGGATTGAGATACTTATGTTCAACTGATTTTAAATTATATAATTCTAGGATTAAATAGGTATTTTACATTTCAAAAGACTACATGTCAACACATACGAAAGAAGCAAGGAAAGGAAAATGGTAATAGAGGAAAAGGATAAAAAAGAGAGTAATGAAGAAAAGAGGAAAAGGAACAAGAAGGAGGAGAAAGCATAATTATTTAGGTCTTAGACAAGTAGAAATTGTTGTGGTTTGACATTAAATACTATCCCTCAATTGTAGAAAGAGTGGTTACTTTGTACTGGTTCCTTTTCATAATCTTATAATTCCTCAACAACTAGGATCCCCTTATTTGTGAGATATTTTCCTACCGATGGTCCATACAACAAGGCAAATTCATATAAATCAACTTTCAGTTATACTTGAAGATTCTATGGATAGCAGTGGTAAAAAATAATCCCATTCTCTACTGGAACCCCAAATTATTCATCGGTGACCTTAATGTTTTATTTTGTTTTGGTTTTTTTTTTTGCAGCAGCACTAATTTACCCTACTAATTATGTTAAGCTCAGACTAATATTAAAATAAGCTTATATCCACAGACCATGATTTGGTCAAATGTGAATCGAATGGCAGAGTAAAAGAGACAAAACCTGGATTATAAATATGCTGAATATAGGTCCCCTCATTAATTTATTCAAACACTATCAAATGTTTAGAAGCTCAGCAATGATTTGGTATTTTGTAGGTGCAAAAGATAATAACATAGCCCCTAAGGAACTCAAAAAATGATTCACTCACAAAGTGTACATATAAATAACCAAAAACAATCCAAAATTCAGCATAGATTAAAAAGGTAAATCCTACCTGAGAAAGGTACATCTCTCATAACTGTAGAACTCCAACCTCTCCAGAGTGAAATCCAACCATCATGTGACAATTTCCGTCTGACAAACAGATGTAATTCCTTATAAGACAATGCCTTGGATTGCATTTTGGTTCTAATCAACTCTAAGGGACTTATTACAGTTACTGCACCTACTGAAAATAATATACACATGTGTCAATATGCACATAAAAAGCATAATTTAATGTTTCACTTATGGCTAATAAAAGTTCCATATTTCTCTAAATTTTAAGCCCAAAATATATACTGCCACCATGGTATTATAACATTTTTTTTAATCACTACAGGTTTTCCACATATTGATGAGGCACTATTTTCTGAGACAGCATTTACAAAAATTCCTATGACAGCCTGTTTCTTCTCTTTCCAATCTCCTATCCATTCAAGTATAATAAATATAACTTTACAAAGACTAGGGCAAAAACCTCTTTCAAACCAGCACCCTTCAAACTTCATTCTCATTATGGGTATAAGCTATCCTGCCTCTCATTCAACTCTGAATATCTATGTCTGGATGGAGAAGTATCTGGGGGTTCTAGCCTAGTCCAGAATCATCTTGGGTTCAAATGAGTCCTTGGAAGTTAGCATGATCTTAAAGCTGATATGAAACCATCCAGACACACAGAAGTCAACCAATCTTGAAGTAACCTAGATTTGTACTTGATGCATTTGGTTCGATGAATTCTGGATCCATATACTCAAAGGCTATGTCTTCAGAAGGAAGGCAAAGCTAAGTTTGGCAAGGAACTTCTTGTTCTATGATAGATACCTCATACTGTTGTGGAAATGCATAACTGTTTATAAAAAGGCCTTTTAATCCTGACCGCAACAATGTAAATCAACGATTTACTGAGCGTCCATTAAGCGCAAAAACACTGCATTATATAATGCCTAAGGCAGCAGGGTATAACAGAAAACACATTAGACCTGGAATCTGAAGCCCTTCTATCTGTGAGCTCTAAGACCTTGAATAAACTGCTTCATCTCTGAGTTTCAGCTTCTGCATAGGGCTTTGTAAAGAAAAGCACTCTGTGCCAATGCTATTGGAATGATGCTGGTATTATTTACCCTACAGGAGATGTGCAAATGAAGTAACACCATGACAAATTGAAATTTAAAAATAACATAATAGAATTATGACTCACATCTTGCCACAATTCCAGCAAAAATTGGTATGAAGGCTTCATTTTCTACTTTAGACTTCATAAATAAAGATAGTTGGTCATAACAAGTAAAATATATAACTGTAGCAGGAACTGCCATCACTCTGAAAGAGATAGATCAATTAAGAATACAAAGACCAGAAGGTATAGTGCATGCTTAAAAACAAAGCGGTACTACTCACTATAAGAGTAAGCTAAATTAGATTAAATCTAAAACCCTTAAACTTTGTGTTGGTTGAAGATTATAGCAAAGTACTCTAAAGCAGCAATTTTCAAACTTTTCCGGCCTATCTTGTCCACCTCTTCAATAAGGCAAACAACCTATCCCACACAAACCTACTTTTAGGGAGGAAAGAAAAATCAAAATACCTTAGGCAAAAACTAAAGAGACACTGGATGTCACACTTGAAAGGACACCAAGTTATGTTTTTAATTAAATACTACATGTTATTCCAACCAAGAACCAAGGCATAGACACTCTCATCTTATAAACATGGAAAATAAATTTATAATGTAAGACTATATAAGCTACCTAAAGTACTATGTGGTACTTGAAAGAGCTCAGTGATAACATTTTGAGGGGAAAAAAGCAGTCTATGAATGAGATCTAATGGAAAGAAAAATAGTTGAGTGACATGGGTGCTAATCTTGGCAATAGCTACTAACTTTGTGCAAATCACCTACTCTTTGTGCCACAAACAAAATTTTATCCTGTCACTTCAAAGGAATGGCTTTGTAGATACAATTCTTTCCTACATAAAGTCAGATTATAATTTTATCATTAAAACCTACTTTACTAGTTGATATATTAACTCATATACTACAACAGCTATTGTGTGAAATTTTAAGAGGAAGAAAGCTATTAGAACAGGAAATGTAAATCATAATATAGTTCATATTATATATATCTCTCAGTTCTTCAGTATGAGGGGCAAGCCAACCTAGAGAATTAGAAATACTTTATTTTTTTTATAAATGAAAGAAAGCAATAATATTACTAAAATATGTTAGCCCATTTTGCTGTTGTAACATCGTACATAGACAAAACACAGGTAGTATAAAAAAATCAAATTCCAACTCACAGTGTAGGGGGAAGACCACTCCATAAGGATTTTATGCCCTCATTTCGAATAATTTTCAAAAAGGCATCCTAAAACATAATTGGAAAAGAATGACTAATAATGTTCTTCTGAACTTACTGACATATAGATTTGGTAGTAATTTTTGTTAATCTACTTTGTAATTTTAATTATTTTTTTAACCTCATGTTAAAAAAACAAACAAACATCTACCTCTGTAATATATACAAAGAATGCTGAGCTAATATTAGGAAGATCTGAGTTTGAATCTTGGCTCTGCCACTTATAAGTTGTATTACCTATGCCAAGTCAGTTTCCCTCAATTAACTACTTCCACTGTAGCTTGGAATTGAACTAATCGATTACTAAGACCTTTTCCACTCTAACATTCTGCTATTCTGACTCATTATGCATGTACATTTAGAAAAAGTAGTTCTCTCTCAACATAAAAAAGCAAAATGACTTTTCTTTTTACCAGAATCAATTCCAGCCTTAGACTTATTTGTATAGCAGTACAACTTTGGGATTCCAAAACTGAAGTTCTTATAAAGCTATGCAAGATAAACTACAAATTGAAATGTCATTATTATATATACATTACTACATATATGTATATGTATGTATGTGTGTTTGCACAGACATATAAACACACACATATATACATATGTGAGTGTATATAAATAGACCCAATTCTTCCAATCATTGTTGCCTATTGCCCCAAAAAACTTCTAACTTTCTAAATAACTTCAGAATGTGTTTCACTTCTTTCACTGTCTCTCCATTTCACTACTTCATAGTATCCTTGGTGATACTACTTATAATTCTCTACATTTTTAATCAATTGGTGATGATAAAGTAGAGGTCTACTTAGAATACTACTTTTGAAAGTTCCCCTTTTCTCTATTAATAACCTTGTTAAGTATGCCTTTCATGCTTGCATAGATTATTGTAAAAAAATTTGCTGAGGGGAAAGTAAGAATATAGGCCTGCAGTATTAATTAATGAACACTGACACAAAATTATCATATACATACTGCCAAGAATAAGCAATATATCAAGGACTTAAGAGTCAGAAGACTTAAGCCTGAATTCTTCCTCACTAGTTGTATGATTGGGCAACACTGAACCTCTCTCAGTCTCTTCATGTGGAAAATAGGAATAATAACAGCACCTACTTCAAAAGGGTTGTTGTGAGGATGAAATAATTGTAAAATACCCAGCAAATCTTAAAGTGCTATATTATTATTATAGCTGTAGCTATTATTATTACCAATAATTATTTTTATGATCAAATATTATTAATTTCAGAATTGCAAGGACAGTTTAATATTAGGAAAATAGTAAGCTTAATTATCTTACTAGTAAAAAAAACCCCATAAATTATCTTCAGGAAAAGCAGTTGACAGAAACACATTTTAAAAGAGGACTTTTCTTTAATAAGACAAAAAAGTATTTGAAACAAAAAAAATAGCATTAAATATAATGGACAAATAGTAGACAATATCCCACAAGGGGTATTAAAATAGGAATACCTACACTTAGCATTCTCATTCTACATCATAATCTTTGAAATATTATGAGATAAGAAAAAACACCGAGGGGCTAGGCATAGGCAAAGGAGAGATTTAAATATCTCCAATTTGTAGATCATGTGGTGGCTACTTATAAATCCCAACAGCCAGCAAAAAAAAAAAAAAAAAAAAAAAGAGCTTCAGCAAAATAACTATAAGGTCAACTGAAAAAAAAATCAATTTTTATCACTAACAAAAAAAGAAATCAAAAAGCAAGCACCATTTACAATAATGACAAAATATGCTAAATGACTGGGCATTAATCTAACAAGACACATAAAACCCAGAGAAAATCAACGATAAAGCAATTTTAACAAAAATTTTAAGAGTCAAGTGGAGAATTATTCCATGTCATGGCTAGGTCAAACCAATATAGTAAAGGTGGCAATATTGCTCAAATTGATTCACACGTACCATAGTAACCAAAATACCAATGAGATACTTCATAGAAATATAGAAAAGGAGAATGGAGACAACAGCCACCAAGCCAGATTCCATGAGAAGTAGCTACAGTGTAGAAATAAGAATTGTGGTTGAAGAGTTTATAGGAAAATCCAAGAAAGGAAATATTAATAAAAAACATCAGATGTTTATGTTCAGACAAAACATGACTAAAAAGCAAGGTGAATTAGGGAGCTTATCATAAAGAAAAGAATTTGAACTCAGACACCACAGACTCAATGGGATTAGACCATGATTGACCTATGGTTCTTAACTGATCTTAATTGATCTATTAAGTACATATTTTAGTCAAAAGAAGTAGGATAGGTAAAAAGGATGATGGAGGAGGAAGCATTGGTAGTTATTTGTGGGAGGAAATCCAGGAACTATATGGGGTTAATGGAATGGGTTTCATTTAGGTGAAAATCAAGAGGCAGAAAGAGAACTCATATGCCATCAGAGTATACTAAAGATCGAACAAATAGAAAAAGAAAATGAGTTCAGAGAACAAATTAAATCTGGCATGAAGTATATAGTAGTGATGGGAGACTTAAATTATATGGACATCCCTGGAGGGGAGGAAGGCAGTTATGTCAAAAATAGAACTAACAATTTCTTAAGTTTTAATTCTTCAAAAGGTGATCACATGGTGAAAGTTCATTCTGAATTTGACCTCAAATTAATTGCTAGGGTGTAAATGATGGAAATGTTGCAGTTAAGTTTGTGAAAAGGGTAAGGAATGGCAGAAACAGTCTGACATGCACAGATTTTATCAGATCATATTTAAAAGAATTTAAAGGAAGGATAGCTAGATAGATAAAGCCAGATGCATTTATTAAGCACCAGGCATACTGTTATACACTGGGAACAGAAACAAAAGAAAAGAATGTGTACATCATGTATGTTTACATTCATGTAGCTTACATTCCAATGGGGAAGACAACATGAAAAGATGAACCAGAGAGGGAAGCAGAAGAGTGCCCACATTGGGCAAGGTAGGTGGTGAGAAGGAAGAAAAGTTATCTGGAAAGTGAGTTGAGCTGTGTGTCAAGTGCAGCTGGAACCCCTCCAACACAGTGGTCTGGGAAGAAAGGATTCAATGATCAGAAGGGGGTTAAGAACAGAAAGTTCTCAAAAGAAATACACCTTTTCAATAACCACTTGAAAAATTGTTCAAACTCGAAGTCTAATAAGGCATATTTATCAATCCACTAACAAGCATTTATTAATTGCTTACTATGGATCAAGCATTGTGCAAGGCACTGGGAATACAAAGACTAAAATTAAACACTTTTTAACCTCAAAGAGCTTACATTTTATAGGGGGAACAGCCTACACAAGAACATATGTAGATATAGATATGTGTATGTATGTATACACACACACACACAGATATATACGCTTGTGTATGTACTTACACATACACACACACACCTACAAAACAAATACAAGAGAATTTGGGGGGGAGGGTGGAATGAGGAAAAGAGGCACTACCAGTTAAGAAGAGAGTATCAGAAAAGGTCTTATACAGGAGCAAGGGGCACTTGAACTGAGCTTTGAAGGAAGTAAGGAGGGAATGCATTCCTTGCCTGTGCAAAGGTAGAGATGGGAGAAAGACATAATTCCATTACATTCATACACAACAATTTGTTCAGTTATTTCCAATGAAGGACTATCCATTTTGTTTGCATTTCACTTTTTTTTTTTGTTACCATAAAGAATGCTTCTATTCATATCTGTTTTATATAGGGCTTAAAGAATGGAATGGTACACTCAATGGTACAAGGAACTCCCTTTACCAATGCAGGTTTACACCTTCTCTACAAGTTACAGTCACAGGGAGCTGCCTAATCCAATGAGAAGTTAAGTGACTTGCTCAGGATTACACAGACAGTATGTTATCAGGGGCAGGACTTCACTCAAGGTCTTCCTGAGGCCAGCTATTGATCTGTTATACTGCAATGACTCTTCTTTATTATATACAAAACCTTTCTTTTTCCTGCTTTTGATCTCCTTGATGTAAATGCCCAGTGAATGGCATCACTGGGGGGTTAAAAGATATGAAGTTTAGTGATTTTTTCCATATAATACCAAATTGCCCTCCAGAATGGTTGGAACACTCCACAGCTCTATTAGAATATTAGTGTGCCTTCACTACCAGGACCTCCCCAATACTTTTTCCTTCTTTTATCACCTTTGCCAATTTTATAGGTATGAAGTGAAACCTCAGAGTTACTTCAATTTGCATTGTTCTTATTACTGAAGGGGAACAACCTTTGCAATTGAAGATGAACATGTACATTTCTCCTACTGAAAGGTATTTGTATATCTGACTACTTATTTAGTGGGAAATGTATCATAAGATCATAGGTTTCAAGCTGGAAGGGACTTCAGTTGTGCTGTGTCCAACTATATTGTAAGATCTTTGAAGGCAGAGATTATGTTTAATGATTTGCCTACATAGCAGTGGGTGGGATGAGGGGCAAAGGAGCTCACAAAGGTGGCATAAAGGCAGGTAACAGCAGTCACTGGCCTACAAGTCATAATTAAGTCATAATTCTAACATTTCTCAGCTCTGCTTTAGTTTAATATGGGTGTATGATATAAAGTAATTTCTTTCTTAGTTTGGATTTGTGCTTTCATTTGTATAGCAAATCCCCTGATGAGGAAACTTCTAGTACTAATGCAAATCTGCAACTTATTCTCTCATTTAATAGTCTTGAGAGAGCTGTTAGGGCATTGAAAGGTTAAGGGACTTGCCTAGAGTCAAGCTGCCAGTATGTATCAGAGATGAGCCTTGAATTCCAGTTTTCTGACACCACTACTACTCCATGCTGCCCCTAAGAATTTATAACAATTCCATAAATTATTCACACTACAAAGACCTCAAAATCACATAATTTTAGAATCACAGAATGTTAGTGCTAGAAAAGACACTGGAGATTATGTAGTCCAACTTCCTTAATTTACAGATGAGGAAACTAAGGCTTAGAGAGAGCAAATGAATTTGTCCAGTGGGAATCAAATCTGAGTGAAGGGAAAGGATGAAAAGATATTCAGGTCATTCTCCCTGTCCTTAATTTTTACAACTCCTTCTTTTTCTCTTCTTAGTGAGAATGGGCAGCATCACTTTTCAAACTTTGCTCTGGCCTAAGCAAGACGTACATATTACCCAAAATAAATAACGGAAGAGAAATAAAACCATCTTCAAGCAGTAGGATGCATATTGAAAAACCATCAACAGAGCAGAGAATGTAAATAAAGGAATGAACAGAAAAGCATTTAGGATCACAGACCTCAGGCTAGAGGAGACCTCAAAGGCCATAGAGTCCAACCCCTTCATTTTAGAGATGAGGAATTTGAGGCCCAAGAACCTAAGTAACTTGTCTAACGTCACACAGGCAGTGGAAGAGATTTTGTGGTCCTTTCCAATTTCTACTAAATGGTAACTAAGAATTGATGATATAAAGAGAGTTTACATTACTGCATAGGACTTAAAAATGGAAAATTATGATGTAGTGTAATTTCCTTACCAATGTTCCTCTGAAGCGGCCAGCCTTCTTGTACCATGCTTTGTTGCTACCCTCATCACAGAAATATAGATGATCCATCAGTCCATTACAATACAAAAAGCATCTTCCTAATGAAAAATACCAGAAGTCATTTCAAATAATGGCATTCCCTTTATAGATATGTACCCTGAAAGTTTATTTGCTGATCTTGAAAATTAACCCCTGATCAGAGAATCACAGAATGTCAGAACTGTAAAAGATCCTAGAGAACATCTAGTTGTAGTATATTTGAACAAGGAAAGTCTCTACATTAGATCTAACAGATGGTCACTCAGTTTTTACTTAAGAGATCTCCAGCGAGGGAGAGCCCACTGCCTCCTGAGGCAGCTCATTCCAGTTCTGGATAGATCTAGTTAGGAAACTTTCCTTGTATTAAAAAGAAATTTTTTTTTTAAACAACTTCTATTCAATGATTTCAGGTCTATTCTCTTAGCCCAAGTAGAACATATCTTACTCCTAGTACATAGCTCTTCAAGTACCTGAGGGTAGCTATCTTCTTTTCCCCAGTATTAATATTCCCAGCCTCTTTCACCAATCCTTTCACCATTCTGGTTGTTGCCCATTTGACAATTGAGCTAATCATCTAGAACTGAACACAATACGGCATCCACATATGGTCTGAACAGGGAGGATCAGGGCAAGATGACCCTCTCCATTATCCTGGACACCAGGTCTCTCATAATGCAGCCTAAGATCACGTTAGCTTCTTTTGGTTATTGGGCTTGCAGACCACTAAAATGCATGGGTCTTTTTCAGACTGTTATCTAGCTGTACTACCCCATCCTGAACTTGGGTTACAAAATCAACTTTACAAGTATAAGACTTTGCATTTGCCTGTATTAAATTTAACTTTTTGAAAGGCAGTGTGGCAAAGTGGAGAGAAAGCTAGCCTCTGATCCAGGAAGACCTGGGTTCATGACTACTTTCTGACACACACAGGCTCTGTGATCTGGAGAAAGTCCCTGAGCCTCACAATTTTCTAGGCAACTCTACAAGACTGTAAGCTTCAAGAAGGCGTTGACCTGTACTAGTAGGAGGAGATTTCCTTGTACCAACGAAATCAAAAGTCCAATCCCTATATTTCATCTTATTAGGTTTGGCCTATCATTACAGCATGGCTTTGGAATCTGACATTGTTAACTGTTGGCTATTCCCTGCTACCTACCTTTGCATCAAATCTGAAAAGTATTCCACTTATGACTTTATCTAAATCATTGATAAAAATGGCCAACAGTATGGGGTCAAACTCAGGTCTCAGGGTCACTCCACCAGAGATCTCTTCCAAATGCTCATGATTCTTTTGACCTGGCCAGTTTTGATTTCACTTAACTATACCATAGTGTAGCCCACATCTTTTCTACAGGAATAATGAGATACTTTTCAAATGCTTCATCAACATCTAGGAAAACGAATTCCATAATTTTTCTGATCTGCCAGTTTAGTAACCTTATCAAAAAGAAAAGTGAGGTTAGTATTAAATGACTTGTTCTTGATGAATCTATGCTTGTTCTTTGTGATCACTACTTATTTGGTCAGGAAGAAAAGAGAAGCTTACTGGCCTATAGTTTCAGACTTCATTCTCTTCCCCTTTTTGGAAAACTGGGACATTCACCCTTCTTCAGTCCTAGAGTACTGTCTTCCATTTTCTATCTTCTTTCAAAGATCACTGTGCCAGTTATCTTAGTGAGAATGTAGTTCCTCTGAAGCAGTCACTCAAAACTCATTAAGGGCACATAGGTGGTCTCTTACCATCTTCCCTACTTATCTTGGGCTCCAATATCCTATTAGCCACTTTTTTCTGTATTCTCTAATTTAGAGATTACTTTCCCTGGCATAAAAAAGAGAAGTAAAATAAGAGATGAGCAACTCTCCCTTCTTTCTGATCTTATCATTGTCCCTTCCATGCCAAGCATAGCTCCTATCTCTTCCTTGATCTTCTTCTTTTCCCTAATATATCTAAAACAAAAACAAAAAAAAATTTTTTTTTGGTCATCCTTAGCATTTCTTGTCTGCCTCACCTCATTCTAAGCTTTAGCACCCCTGGATGATTCTTAAAGAACTATACCTACATGTTCCTAAAGTTTCAGTCTGACCATATCACTTCCTCGCTCAAGAATCAAATAAAATTTTACAAATTCCTCAGCTTGGCATTTAAAGCCCTTCACAATCTGGACACATTTCATTACTCTCTTCATACACTTTACAATTACATTCGAATTGGCTTACTTGCTGTTCCCAGACTTGGCAATCTCCCAATCCAATCCAACCAAAATTTATTAAAATCTTTCACGTATAAGGCTCTGTACCATGTGCAGGGGAAGCAAAGGCAAAAAAGAGAACAAAAACTGACCTCTAGGAACTCATATTCTACTGGGAAGAGGAAAAATAAAATATGTAAACATAAGTTCATATATACAAATGATCTGAGGAAGGAGAGTCTAGGGAAAGATCAGTACAGAATTCCCACAGGAGTCCCATATGAGCCAAGAACTCTGAAGAAAGCTAAAGATCCCAGGAGATAAAGGTAATGAAGGAATGCATTTCAGATAAAAAGGGCATCCTGTGCAAAGTTGGAGGCAGGTGATAGAATGCCAAGTACAAGAAATGGCATGAAAGTCATTTTGGCTAGATCACAGAGTGCATGAAGGGCATAATAATTAAGCCTGGAAAAGAAACAATTCAGTGCAGTGTCCAATGTCCAAAAAGTCCAAGATGAGGGATAAAGGATTCAAACTCAGAGACTCCACAATCAAGGACTTCAAATCCAATGTTTTTCCCACCTGTACCATGTTTCACTCCCTAACTAGTTTTAGCCTCTAATCCTCAATTAGGGGTATTCTAGGATCACCATAACAACTCACTTGCAGATTTATAAGGCACTATGTTCACAACAATTCTGTGAAGTGGGTTACTACAGTTATTTGTTGCTGTTGAGTTATTATGAATATAAACTAATGGGGAAATGACTCCCTATTTTATAACAACTGCTAGGAAAACTGGAAGTATTTTGACAAAAATTAGGGTGAGACCAATTATCTTGAACTATATACCACAAAAAGTTTCAAAGGGATGCATTTCCTAAAATAAAATGCCAAATCATTTTTTAAAAATATTAGGTAGAAACTGAAGGATCTTTCAAAACTTCAGCTGGGTAAAAATTCTTACCCAAATAAGGCAAGAGAAAAAAGAATATGTAAAGGATAAAACAGACAATTATTACTTCAAATTAAAAGGCTTTGGAATGAACAAAATGAATACATCTAGAAGAAACCATTAAGTAGATGAACAATCTTTACATCAGATATCTCTGATAAAATTCTGATATCCATAATATATAGAGGAAGTGAACCAAATATAAAACAAAGAGTTATTCCCCAGTAGATAGGTGGTAAAAGGATATGAATGAATGGTTTTCAAAAGAAGAATTGCAAAGTATCAACAATCAAGTGAAAGATAGTTCCAAGCCATTAAAAGTATGAGAATGTAAATTAAAACTTTTTCCTTACATTTAAGATGAGCAAAAATGGTTATGGTCAATGCTGCGGAGTTAGGTACACAAATACATTGTTATTACAATTGTGAATTGGTTCTGGATAGCAATTGGTCCAAAAATTCAGAATTAAGTGACAGACATGGCAAGTGGCAATTCCACTGTAGCACATAAACTCCAAAAAGCCTAAAGACAGAAAGAAAGGCCCTTTTATGTTAAAATATTCATCCTATTTTGGGAAGCAAAAAACTAGAGAAAAAACAAGTATTCATCAGGAAACTACTAATAATTGTTTTATATGAACATAAAGTAATTATCATTGTGTCATAAAAAGAACATATACAAGGAATTCAGGGAACTATAACGCAAAATAAAGTAAGCAGAAAAGGAAGATCTAAATACAGTATAACATAAATGAAAAGAGCACTAAAAGGAAGCTGAACTCTGATGACCTTTAAGGTACTTTCTCACCTTTTATGTTTTAAGGTCACTTCCACCTCTAAACTGATGAACCTAGAAGATTACAGGCCAGTGCATAAAGTTGAACAGATTTCAGATTTAACAGATCTGTTGAGGTTAAAAAACAAAACAAAACAAAACACTATCTATAGAACCCAGAGTTTTGAAGTTACCATTTAAAAATGAAAAAAGTCATAGTTTCCAAAGAAGATGGGAGAGTATGACATCAAGTGAAGGAGCTGAAAAGGCTGCACTTAGAAAGGGGAAAGACCACCTCTTTGTCAGAGACAAATGAGAGAGAATGAGGGATGATGTAGATGGATTTTAAAGTGCATGACAAAAGACAATATCTAGACAGATGATTTCCATTTCCATGGTAAACTCCAGAGAAAAAGAGGGAAAGGAATAAACATAAGAATACTGAGAAGAGAAAACTCAGAACAGCTGTTATCAGCATCAGACAGTCAATTAGGAAAGAATAAAAGAATTATTATGCAGCAGTGAAGGCTCAGCTGAGAGTAGGTAACATATTTGCAGTGGACCTAATCACAGCTTGGTTGTATGAATTTCTCCAGTTACATTCAAGAGCATTCAAGTAAAAGTGAAAAAGGCGGATAGTAGAGACATTCCAGCACAATAGCTTGGCAAGGCCTGAGTGATTAAAGGAGAAGGAACAAGGAGTTTGAATAAAGGACAATACATAGTCAAACTGAGTAACATAGGATCAAGCCTGGAAAAGGATAGAGTGACCTGAGTTTAGTGGGGATGACTAAGTGGAAGAGTTTTTAACCTTTCCTGTGTCACAAACACCTTTAGTGGCCTGGTTATGCCTATCTATCCATTCTGAGAGTAGTACTTTTAAATGCATGAAATAAAATAAACAGCACTGTAAAGGAAGCTTCCTTTTTATCTTTACCAAGATATACTGAGGTGACCAAATAAGAAGGAAGAGTTATGGTAAGGAAAAAGACAGTACTTAAACAATCAACTCTCAGTAAAAGGTGTCATATAATAATAATAATAATAATAATAATAATAAAAAGTTATTTATATAGCACATAACACTTTTAGTTTTGCAAAGCACTTTATAAATATTACCTCACTTAATCCTCCTAACAAACTTGAAAGAAAGGTGCTATTATTATCCTCACTTTACAACTGAAAAAACTGAAGCAGACTTAGGTTAAGTGATCTGCCCAGAGCCACATAACTAGTAAGTACCTGAGGCTTGTTTTGAACTTAGATCTTTCTGACTCCAGGTCCAGCATTCTATCCATTGTGCCACTTAGTTTAATAAGAACTTTGGGATTATTATAACAATGAGGAAACTTTACTAAAGCCAAGAAAAAAAGGAACATTGTATACATACAAATGAATATGGTACAATTAAAAATCGCATAACCTTTACATATAACTTTAAAATTGTACATACTTTTGGGGTAAGGATTGTTCTGAACTTGGAGACGAATTTTAACAACATCCAAAGGTGTCACTATAAAAAGACATGAATGACAATTAGAGGGCTACATAATGCCTTTAATTAACTAGAATTTCTTCTCGAGAAACACAAAATATAGTACCATAAATCATTAATTTTTACAAGATTTCTATAAAACATGATTTTTTTTTTTTTTTGGTGAGGCAGTGGGGTGAAGTGACTTGGCCAGGGCTACAAAGCTGGTAAGTGTCAAGCGTCTGAGGCCAAATTTGAACTCAGGTCTTCCTGAATCCAGGGCCAGTGCTCTATCCACTGTGCCATCTAGCTGCCCCCTAAACATGATTTTTAAAAAAATATCCTCTCAGAAGTCTATTGCTTCTGAATAGCATTTAATTTGTACCATTTAGAATCTTTTTCAAAGAGAAGCATAGAGAAAAACTAAGGCAAGATTCTCTCACAACCACTAAACTGTACTCTAAAACAGTATTTCTTCAAATGCAGTACTGATTCTAAATGACACTTCATTAGTATCTAGAACCATATTATTAGTACACTGTATATGGAAAAAAAAGTTCTTTAAAACAATAAAATGAAAGCTTTCACAATTCTGCTCAAATATTCAAGAAGTTACAACTTCACTCATTCAATACTTATTAATCATTTCCCTAGTTTTAATTAAGATTAATAACATTATTATTTTAAAATAACAAGTTATAGCAAAGAGAAAAATAATTTAAACTGAATAGTTAGAAAATAATTCTACCACCACACTGTGCTATTACATTTGTGAAAATTATGGCAGGAGAATCTTAAATCAGTACAGTATAGTCAGGATCAAGTATAAATAACCATATCAAAAGTCAGGCAGACGTCATTAAGAATGTACATTACAAATATTTGTGCTTGCTTTTATCTGTTACATGTTTTAAACAAATTAGACGATATTAAAATACTATTCTTTGGCCAAAACATTTTTGTCATTGTAGACCAAAGTGTTTTTAAAAACTACTCTGTATTAACGCAAACAAATAATATTGTACATAATTGCTAACTACCACGAATGACATTCTTGTACCATGAGTATTTACTTATATGTCATTATACAGTCAGAATTCTAGAACCATAAAAGACGGTAAAAAGAAGGTAAAAATAAAGGATAAGGTGATTCAGAATGTGCATGGTACAGCACTGACAAGTGCTGACCTTGAGAGTCACAAAGACCTGGGTTTAAATCTTACTTTAGGAACTTACCAGTGATATGACCCAAGAAGTCATTTAACTTCTGGACCTCAGTTTCCTCAACTATAAAATGAGGGGGTTGGACTTAGATCAAGCTCTAACCTTATGATGTTATGATTAAGTTCCAAAGCTAAGACATTACCTCTTCATCCTTTCATTTCTCAAAACATTTTGACTATTACTCTTATGCACTTATCCCATTTCATTTTCAAAATTATTCATGTACAGATTTTATTTTTCCTACAAGGTATTAAGTTCCTGGAGAACAAATATATTATTTTTTTCTTAATGTTTACTTGACCATTAATTTCTGTTTTTTCTCACAATTTTATTTTTAAAATTGTTTTTAGCTTTTTATTTATTTTTCAAGCACCGAGTATATTACTGATCTCTGTATCAACCCTATACAATAGGCGCTTATTAGCACCAAGTTTCCCTATCTCCTATTTAACATCCTTTTCACAAAGTTACATAAATTCCAAAAGTTTGAATTCATTGATATTCTTTTTACCCATTAGTGATGTAAGAATAGCTCCAGTACATGAGGCAATCATTTGCTGCAAAGGTGTCACTCTGGGAAATGCTTGTCCTGTTTGTTCAGCATCCATATTGTTAATACCTGGTGAAAAAAACTAAACACGCCCCCCGCCAATTAATGGAAAACTAGCAGAACTGTAGTAGACAGCATGTAAATACCAACACACTTTAAACATTTTGGGATACTAACATCAAATGCTTTAATAATAATGAGTACATATAAGTCGTTGTCATCAAGAAATGAACAAGATGCATATGAAATTAACACTACAGGACATACTTTTTTCCAATAGTGATAAGATCTGAGTCGGTCATTGTAACCAAGGGCACACATTTTTTCTGATAAGGAATGGTAAATGCAATATACATACTGTGTCTTGTGTCTTATTAGTAAGATGTTGTACCAGTCATATTAAGTTATTAGCAAATACTGTATTTCCATGTGACTAAAAAATGGGTGTTAAGGATGAAGGGCATATATCATCAAAATATAAACATATCTTCTTCCAAAGATAGTAAGTTTCTATGAAATTTTAAAAGCATTTATTATTAGTTCAAATTATACACCAGGTTTGTGTCCTTAAAAAAAATTAGAAATCATAGAGATCATCAAATTCAACCTCTTCATTTTACAGAAGAGAAAGCTGTATCCCAGAAAGATTAAATAATTTGTCTATCTCACATGGCT